CTAACAAGCATTGTTTTGAATAAATAATACCTATTTGTCTCTAAATCTATATAGTAAGTAACTCCTCTCTTTTTGTTTGTTTTTTAAAGATACAATTTTGCCGGTGAAAATTTTTATCTGTTTATATTTACTTTTCGAGACAAAGAATGCCTTCAAAGGAAAAAACATCTAAAAAAAATAAAAAGAAAACATATCGTTTTATTTTGTATAGCCGTGATAGCTCAGTGTTCGGGCGCTCGTCTTTAATTCCATGTACTCGAGCAACCTGAGTTCGATCCCCGGTGCCAGGACAATGAAATTTTTAATTTTAAGTACTGACTTATCACGTCCTCGGCGGTGAAGGAAAACATCGGGAGGAAACCTGTATATTTTCGAAATAATAACAAAAAAAATCAAAAATATGTGAAGTCCGCCAATCCGAAGTGGAGTCGCGTGTTGGATCTTTGCCCAGCAGGGGGACAATTATTGGCTTTACTATACTTTTTTCGTCTATATTGGACTCAATGCATCGTCGAGTCATGCTGAGCCCAATTTTCAAAAGGTTGTAAACGCATCTGGAACCCTCGGGTGTAGCAGATGTCCATGGGCGGCGGTATTCACTTAGCATCAGGTGAACCGCCTGCTCGCTTAACAGCTTTTCACATTAAAGAAAAAAAATGCTCGCTAATGCTGAATCGATTCCACGAGATTTTTTTTCTCCTCGAACCTCAAAACTAATGATTGCTCTGTGACCGGCAGCCGTAAGAGGGGTAAGCTATGATCACATATTCCCACTTAGTAAGATACATGGTCACTTCTCTGCATACATACAAACCATTTTAAGACCATCCGCCCTCTATATAATATAGGTGGTATGGCCCTCAAGCGCTGGCCGGTTTCGAATAAAAAGAATCGTACATCTGCTATAAACATTCGTTTCTACCGACTTTTCCACCGTTTCAGCGGCGTACTTTAACGCTCAATGCGGATATAATTATATTAAAGTTCCTACTCGCTTAATGTCTTTGTAATTAACGCGAGTCGTTAAATACCGCAGGAATATGGGATTACGCAACACGCCAAACGCGCGAAACACTTTCGCGCCAAATTGACTATCATCATAGCAAACGATGACTTAAACAGCAGCAGACCATAATATATGACAACAATAGAACATAAGTTCTATACACAGATCATACATGGACACTTGGGTCAAATTTGCCAGTCTGTCACTTTATTAAATCACCTTTTAAATCTATTAACGGAAGTCTAATTAAGTGATGATTCGCTCAGGTTTCATATTTTTTAAAACACCCGTTAAATGTAAACACAGCCCTAGAGCCATAAAATTTGCAAGTTTTAAAATTTGCAACTGTTATTTTTTTTTTTCTCAATTTTATTCTTCTTCGTTATTTCTTCTCTTAGACGATAAATTGAAAATAACCAGCAAATGTTGATACCGATTTAGAAATGAATGTTGTTGGATTTTGTTTGTTGTTGTCTTATAAGATATTTATGAGTGTCGCTTAAATCACCCGGATGTTCAATGCAACTCCGGAAAGCTAAAAGGTGGATTCGGCTTACGTAACTTAAAAGGATAACGTCATACATTATAAAAATTTACAGGTTTTGTTTATATTTCATTCTAGGAGTTTTGAAATTGAATTAGTGAAATACTTTACTTTTGTTTGACAAATTACTAATTGCTAATTACTCCTAGCTAAAAAAAAAGAAAATAAAACGCCATATACGATAAAGAAAATAACTACGGGACGCAGAGTTCCAGGGAGAGGTCTAGAGATAAACAAAAATGGTGGTATAAATTTTGATGAATTGTCTGTATGGAGAAATCCCCAAGACGCTGCAATATAATGATAATAAAAGAGTTCGGGGGACGAGTCAATACAGGTCCTCGTTTCGTGTCTGCAGCGCGAAACCGGACCCTGGCCATAACGTATTACGTTACGCGAGGCTCGGTAACCTACATGCGGTTGCCCAACCGCTCGAAATGCAACGCGGAATTAATGTAACGGATCAGAGGAAATACGCCAATTAAAGGCGCTACTTTCGACGCGCCTTAAACGGATTATACGGTAACTGTTTTCGTGTCTGACAAAAAGATATGACCCGCGCACCTGTTCCCGCGCTTTTTGGCCTTAATAAGACTTAAAGGTCTGTTAAAGGCATGGTATAAATAAATAATCACTCGCGTATAATACTGCAGAATAGTGAATGAATCAAGCGTCAAAAACGCGTGATTGTAGCTACACCAGCTTGCTAATTAGCTAATTCCAATTTTTCTTTTTTACAATTTCTCATTATTAAAATGACCGTCTTAATCCGTTTAAGTTTTGAATTACCTATAAAATTTCATTAACAACAATATTTCTAACAGTTAACCGCAATTACGTCTTCTTTTAGTTTTTCTGTGAGAAAGTGCCAAGTGACAAGGCAGTTCACCAGAGATAACACAATCACCGCCACAACAACCATTGGGTTGTGTATTGGTCAGCTATAACAATCGTTGGGTTGCAGATTCTCTAACAAACCTTTGAACAGTTATTCCCGGTAACCTCGCTCCAGAATTGCCAAGAACCCCGTTACGTTTAGCAACAACAACTAAAACGTTTCCGATACTACAGTAGACACCTATTAAATCAAAATTGCCACAACACAGCCACAAATTGAAGTGCAAGAACAATGCTAAGAGCACGTAAGTCGAAAGTATTGATAATGCCTACAATCAGAGGAGTATAGGAATTAGAGTAAATAGTTTAGAGTAAACGGTTTTAAACTTTTCTCAAAAGCATTCGCTCTAAATTTTGTTATCAAAGAGCCCAGCACAGCGTTCAAATTTTAAACACGAGTTCCAAGGTGGTTTAGCACATGGAAAGAATAGATTAGCCTACAAACCTACAGGAGGTTAAAAACTGGTCGCTACTTCGTGGGTCTCCGTTCTGCCTTGAACTTATAAGGAAGCTAAAAACCTATCGCTTCTTGGGCCCGCGTACTGCCTTGACGCATACGTTGTGACGCGATCGCCGAATATATTCATAACGAGCATCGGCTTCACCGAGCAGTTCCACTTTCTCCTGCTCCGTAATGCGCCTATTTGGTAATTGGATAGAAACTCGCCGCGGCCCCGTCACGCAGAAAGCTGACAATTCGCCAAAGAAAAACAAAAGGTTATCCGGCGCACACGCGTCCGCTCTCTAATCTGTCGACGGATAAGATATCGTCGTTGTTTGTCGCTTCGCAACGTGACGGCTTGCTGGCTGGGATGAGGAATTGCGAACTGAGATCATTAGATCAAATCCAGTAATGAAATAACAACAATAAACAGACGCGCTGCAGTTGTGTTGAGGCAGACAAAGAATAATGTAGTCCAGTGTGGTCCTCAGGTATATTTAAAGTACAAACGTTGTGATAATTGAGTAAGAAGCCTAAGAAGGCTGTGGTGGGGCCATGCAACAGCCTTCGCTGTTGCACGAATGTGCAGGTACGTCCGGGTAAGTAACACGACCTCACAGAAGACCGGCGTGAAGTGGAAATGCTATACTTCTTTGTTTCGTCTGGTGAGTGAAGAAAACTACCAGGTCGCTTGGCACTGTCTCACATTTTAAAAAAATCATTCAATTTTGTTAACCTCGTCATAAGTGCGTAACTTTATAAGTTAGAATAAAGGGTCAATAGTGCGAGAATTTAAAAAAGTTCTAATAACAATGATTTTTGGTGCTTTCCGAGCCCTCTTGTGTTAGAGCATAGCGTCAATCAGTAAAAACGTTTCGGACTTAATAAGCCCTATTAGTGTATAATTATTGCGTTCCCTGTTTTATTTTGACTTACTAATGAAGCGAAGTGCATTTATTCATAACTACAGAACTATACATATATTTATATATCGATAGAGCCGTTAAAATGACAATATTTGTGATAAATCTTTCTGGATGGATATGTCACAATCAAAAGGATAAGGACGCAGTTTTTAGAGTTTGCTTTACCTAAAAATAACTGTTCCGGATTTGAGTAACATTTCTTATTTGATCTGTGAATGTGAAACGCCACTACAAAGTGTGATATTGTTAAGTAATGCGGTAGCATTAATCTATTAAAAAGTATATAACAAAAGACAAAAGCATCTGGTGTATAAAGACTAAAATTTTAATGACTGCAAAACAGTCTCCTTTATCATCCTTTCTATAAAAATAAAGTATCGGCCTATCATATCCCACTGCTGGGCAAAGGCCTCCTCTATATAGAGGGTTTCAGGGCATAGTCCACCACGCGGCCCCACTGCGGATTGGCGGACTTCAAATATCTTCAAAATATTTAAAAAATTAAAACTTTTTATAGATATATATTTTACGGTGGTAGGGCCACGCAGCGGCCTCGGCTGTTACACGAACGGGCAGGCCCGTCCGGGCAAGTACCACGACCTCAGAGAAGACCAGCGTAAAGTGGAAGTATGACAAATACTTTCGCGTTTCGTCTGGTGAGTGAGGTAGCCGGAGCCCAATTTTCAAAAGGTTGTAAACGCATCTGTAACCCTCGGGTGTAGCAGATGTCCATGGGCGGCGATATTCACTTAACATCAGATGGCCCGTCTGATCGTTTGGCCGCTTTTTCGCATAAAAAAAAATTATAGAGCTAGTCTCTGCACAATTTCTACAAATTTTAATGTTCGAAATATTTTTTATATTATTGTTTCGAAAATATGCAGAAACGAAGACATTTCAACACTTAAAATTAACAATATCATTGGTGTCGGCACCGGGGATCAAACTCAACTGAGTTTATCGAAGTATATTGAATTAAAGGCGAGAATTAAGAGCTCTTGAATTAATAGCTCGAGTACATTAAATTAAACGCGAGCGCCCGGTCACTGAGCTATCACGGCTCATAATATTACTTGAATGGCATAATTATCATAAAGTCACGTATTGAATAGCTCTCAAAGTTGTCACCGCCATCAAACAATCTAAATAGGATTAGTAAGGGTCAGGTTTATGATTTTTCGAGCAATGCCCGTTTTCATCATAATGCCTAGTAAGTTATAATCAAAGTCGTCACATTTATATATGAAAACTATGAGTTACTTTTCAATTTACCAATATTTACTGTTGTTTCTGTTTAGGTAAACGACTGTTTGACGTTTGAATCTTGACAATTGCATCAGCAATACACAATTAACAACGTCGACTGCCACGGTGTCTGGAAATTAGACGAAAGCACTTATGAGAAACGTGTTTATTAAAATAACAACTTTAACAATTTCACCAGCAAGTCGTGTTCTCATTAGTCATCTGGCCCAAAACGGGTAAAGATGTCGCGGTTTGGATCTGATCACGGATTTATCGCTACCATTTATCGTTGAGATGGCTTGCGCTTACAACGAAAAAAATTTAACACCGATGTCAAAATCAAAATCAAAATAATTTATTCATCGATATATGAAACTTACATTTCATCTATCGATAGTAATTTTTTTTAATCTACCGCCGTTTCGTAATGAGGTTTCTCTAGCGGAGAAGACACAGGCGAAAGAAACTCCGTAGATATCCTCTTTTTTGTAAAAAAAAAATATTATACAACTGATTTTTTCCTTTTAGAAATAGCTTGGGAAGCAATGAAATAATTCCCAGGGGTTATTGTCATTAATGTATTCATTTGTATTATAATAACACTTTTTATAAAGTTGTCCTTTAACAAATTTCTTAAACCTGTTAATAGGTAGGTTTTGCGCGTTTACTGGGATGTGGTGTGTCAATTTGGACAAAATTCAATTTAAAATTAAAATGAAATTAACGGAAAAAGTACGTGTATCCGTTTCCGCTAATTCAGTTTTCTCATTCGACTATCCAATACATCATTGTTTTCTCATTATGGTCTGATTTTAAGTAATGACGTTGACTCGTTATTAATAGTATTTGATACTTTCTTTAGGAACGTAAAATTAAACCTATGTAGGTCCCAAAATTGCGCTCGTAAAAAATCTTTTATGCTTAGATTAATCGGAGGAAACGGCAAAAAATATGAACAAAATTTTCTTTATTCTTTATCTCCTAATAAAAAAACAAATATTAGTATCAGTGCCTGAAAATCAGAACGTCGTCAGTTTTTTTTATGCGAAATCGAATGATTTTTTTTTAACGAATTTAAAATTAAATACCCGAAATTTCAAATGCTTTGCAATATTTGAATGCTACGAGATATTCCAAAATAATGAATGAAATTTAAATTTAAAGAATCGTTATGAAAGAAACAGGTAATAAAAGCGTTTTGAAAGAACAAGCCAAGTTTGTTAATGACCGTTCTTTCTTTGTTGCAGGTGTCGCGATATTTCTACCGATGCTAACAACATGCCAGCAGCATCCAGTCCACCATTCGGGTAGGTACGCATCAATTTCTCCCTCAATCCATCTCTATACAAAAAAAATCCGCCTTCAATTAAAAACCAACAATTGTCATTTTCAGTTGCTTTCGTACAGAGAATGGACGAGGGTCCCATCGTGGGGTCTCTACCACGAAACCCTCACTGGCACCAGATCACGGCTGTGAGGAAGAGATCACCGGAAGCCATGCAGTACTACAGCCCTAACCAAATGGCTTATTACAGCGCGGACTACGCCTACGCTCAAAACCCACAGAGCTACCCGAACCACGTTAACGGGTACCGGGTGGATTCCGCGGCGTCTGGAAGCTCGACTCCTAACGACGGGAGGCTGCTGTCAGACTCCGCCTTCACCAGGATATCGGAGACCCTCGGGGCGATCAACACGGTGGGCCACTACCTGGTGGACATCGTGAACGAGAACGAGCGGAACGAGTCGGACCCGAACCTGCAACAGCTCCCGCAGGCGCTGTACACGATAAGCAAGAACGTCTTAGGCCGCAACGTGACGGACAAGATCGCGCCCATAGTGAAGAAAGCGCTGCCCAAAGTGCTGCCGGACGCTCCCATCACGAAGATAGCGACCGGGGACTCGAGCTCCAGCTTCGAGGACGATGCGAAGTCCTGCACAACCCCCGAAGGGGAGGCAGGCGTCTGCGAGGACTTAAGCAACTGCCCGCAACTGCTGCTCAACCTGATAAATCTGCGGGAGTCGTTGTGCTTCAAAGACCTCTTTGTTCCCGGGGTCTGTTGCCCGAGGGACGCTGTCGTGCCGTCCACTACCGCTGTTGAGAAGCCCGTGGCGGCGACCACAGTGAAGCCGACCTACCTGGTGCCCGTTACAACCCATAAGCCCCCCAAAACCACGACAAAGAGCCCGTCCGCCATTCTCGTGCTCACCACCAAGAGGCCCAAACCCCAGCCGACGCCCAGCACAACCAGGACCCCACCAACGTCAGTGGCAGAAGTGACGACACCACGACCGCCTTCCACTACAACTTTCTACACTGAAACACCACCATCTATCGGCAACTATTCGAACATAGTTGACGTTAATGGTGAGTCTAATAATTTTTTTTAATAAAAACAAAACCGATTTCAAATATTTCGCTCTCTATACATTTCAAATTAGATTTTTAGAAGTATGCCCTGCTGTACCTCCGGAGTCTAAGTTATACTACCAATGCCAATAGGAATGAATTCGAAGCAAATGAAATTGAGGCCAAACCGATACTTACGCAAAAATATTTAAAATGAATGACTGTGTTCTGAGATAACAAACTTAAAAAAAATACAACCGAATTGATTTTTTTGAAGTCTGTTGAAAAAACTTTAACCTACCTATAAAACTTTAATATACCTTTTAGTAAGCTCGATCAAAGTAGTAAAATTTTGTAAACTTTTTTATTCATTCAATTATAAAACTTGGCTATTATCGAACAGATGAAATAACTCAATTCAATCCGTTAGAGAGCAACGGATTTTACAGATAGGACAATTAAGTTATGAGATTTAATAAATAATATCTAATTAAAACACAATTTTATCATACATCATAACATCATTATATCATTCAGCAAAGGAAAAAAGTTTTGTACGAAGTTTAAAAAAAATCAAAAACCAATTTTTTTTATTTAAAATAAGCTTGTTTTAAGCTCTTAATGAACGTCAATAATACTACGATACTCAATAATACTGTTTCCCTTAATTAGAACTGTTCAGAGAAGAACTGAGAAGAAACTCTGCGGTCTTCTTGTCTTTTATTTAAAAAAAATGTATATATAATACTTATTAAGTATAAAATTAGCAGCAGCCTACCTGGCTGCTGCTAATTTTACTACGATTTTGCTACGATTGGAAAAAAATTATGTGATGAACATTGTGTTTTTCCAGTGTTTACAAAAAGGAAAGCATATTTATCAGTTGTCTAGTACAAGCGTTACTTAGTTTGGGACTAGAGAACGATATGTAAAATTGTGTCCTAAATGTTAAAAAAAAAGAAACGATTTGGTTTTAGCCAGTCTAAATCTCGGTATTCCAGAGTTTCACCACAGCCCCTATGCGATGTTATATGTTTTTTGTAAAAAGATGGATACTACCGAACTGATATGTTTTTTCTGAAAAAAAAAGATATTAGATATTATTAAGTACATATATGATGTTCTCGAATATGTACAGCGACGAGATTATTATAGCGTCTATTTCTCAGCTCAAAAAGACGCGGAAGTGACTCACGTGAACCTAAACCACAGACAACCATAGATAGTTTTATTCAGTCTTTTCTCTGACCCAAACCATAGACAGCAGTTTTATTCAATCTTTTGGCACCGATCAGATTGCGGGCAGAGGGAGGACGAGGGCGGCCGCATAGTGGGGGGCACGGAGGCGAAGTCGGGCGCCTGGCCCTGGATGGCGGCCATATACCTGCACGGCAGCAAGCGCCGCGAGTTCTGGTGCGGGGGCACCCTGGTGGACAAGCGGCACGTGCTCACTGCAGCGCATTGTACGAGGGACTCTAAGCAGAGGCCGTGCGTATGAATGAAATAGGTTCCAGACGACTTTCGAAAAATGACAGTAACTGACGAAAATTGACAATAATCTGTCAATTTATAAAAAGTTAAACCACGCGGGGTTTAAGAAATTTTTGTAGTTACGCTTTTTTTGGCGCATTAGGGAAAAATATTATGAAATGGAATTTTTACAATAGCGCTACGGCAATATATAGGAATAACTTCGTGTGTTAATTTCAGGTCACTGACTAACTTTACGTTGTTAATAAATTTTTTGTTTTTATTTAATTGCGTATATAAGTGCACACACGCGTTTTTTTCTTCTAAATTAAGCTAAATGAAGTCTATAAATAGAATATAATTCTCATCTACTTAGAAATACTTTCTTGTTAAGTGATCACTGCCGCCCATGGACGTTCTTGAGAGGCTACGGTTGCGTTGCCAACCTGGGAACCAAATAAAAATCGGGCTGTTTTCATACAAAACAACGACTACTCACGACTTTCGATTAAAGTATAAGTAATTTCTGTATGGTATTGAGATATTGAGAATTTTGAGAATTTATCAATACGTACGACACTGCGTTTTTTCCTTTCCAAACATGACAACTTTGAGTACACCCTGAACTGAGATGACGCACTCTTTAGTATACTAATTGCGGGGTGCTGACGATGAAATCGGCAGGTTTCCTGCGCGCCAGTTCAGCGTGCGGTTGGGCGATGTGGACTTAGGGCGTGACGACGAGCCCTCGCGGCCTGTCACGCTGCGAGTGACCGCTGTCAGGGCACACGAGCAATTCTCCAGGGTCGGCTTCTACAACGACATGGCTGTACTGGTCCTAGCTGGTTTGTATCGAACGTTGAGGCAATTACAGAGCTGCCTTTTAAGGCCTCTTTCTCCGGATAGGTCTGCAAAATCGTGCAATAGCCGAGGCTGCTGCGTGGCCCTACCACCGTAAAAAGTGTTTGAGTTCACTGCTGAACATAGGCCTCGCCAGAGACTGCCACGAAGCATGAGCATTTACCAATAATTCAAATTATTTAATAAAACCGTTATCAATTGCATGTCTTTACGCTAAAGAAGTATAACTTCTTACTTGCGTGTATAAGAAAGAAAGATACATATTTTTTTTAATTTACCAAACCGATACATTTTGAACTTTTTCTGGGATTTTGTTGTAGAAAAGTGTACATTCTCCCATAACAGAATCACTTGTTCTACGCAATCTGCGCGTAGAATGCGGGTAGAATTAATTTATGTTGGTCTCTGTGTTTACCAAATCATCGTTATTTTCATTGTATGTACTAAATTTACCATTCTATTTTTCATACTTCGCAGAGGACGTGCAGAAGTCGAAGTACGTGATCCCGATCTGCCTGCCGCGCGGCGAGCTGGCGCGGCGGCAGTTCGACGGCGCGCTCGCCACGGTGGTGGGCTGGGGCACGACGCGCTACGGCGGCGCCGAGAGCGCGCGCCAGCTCGAGGCGCGGCTGCCCGTCTGGCGCAACGAGGACTGTGACCGCGCCTACTTCCAGCCGATCACGGACACCTTCCTGTGTGCCGGCTACGCGCGCGGCGGCGTCGACGCCTGTCAGGTGGCTCTTTTTTTATTTATACTTTATTTGCGGCCAGGTCGCTTTTTTTTATAAGGTATACTCCATTTAGGCCAGGTCGGTCTTTTTTTAAGTCATACTCGTTTTGCTGTCCGGCTCATTTTTAAGGTTCCGTACCCAAAGGGCAAAGCGGGACCCTATTAGTGAGAATACGCTGTCTGTCTGCCTGTTTCTATCGTCTGTCACCAGACTGTATCTCATGAACCTGTTTTTGCTACCCGGTGGCTCTTTTTTTTAACTCATACTCCTTTTGCTGCCTCGTCGCTCTTTTTCTTGGATTTATGTAAGTAACGTATGCAAGTAACAAGTTATACTTCTTTGTCGTAACAAAAGTAAAATAACTATGTACAATTTTTCATTCCCTATGGAAATGGTAAAACGACAAAAAGTTGTCATTGGTCGCCATGGTCTCTTTGTAACCAACTTCATCATTTCGCTTTTTAGTTTTCGGTGTACGCTACTAAAAATTTCAATCTCATATACAATGTAGGAATCCGAACCAATGTTGCTTAATATTGATGACCACAATATAAAAATAAATTCCATATCTGTTTTCTGTCAAATAAATCTCTTTCTTTCTTTCTCATATAGTAAATATTAATTATGTAATTGATACCATTGTTATGAACACATAACTTATTCTCTTTATATCCGTTCCAGGGTGACTCCGGTGGACCGCTCATGCTGCTAGCGAATGGACGGTGGATTCAAATAGGCGTGGTGTCGTTCGGGAATAAATGCGGTGAACCGGGATATCCGGGGGTTTACACCAGGGTGACGCGCTACTTGCCCTGGCTGCAGCAAAACTTAACATGAACGTCGTCTCTCGTGGCTTTAATGAGGGCGCTGCTGTGACATTTTAGCCTAAGATAAAAATCATACCATATGGAGCTTTACTAAGTGTCAATTAATTAAATCGAAGGATTTGATTATGTTAATAATTCTTACCGATTACCACTTGACCTTTACTAATTGTTACCAAATACAGTCATTCGTCTATTTACCTGCTGTTGAGATTTTGGTTTCTATTCAAAGAGATCTTATGTTTTAAATTAGCCATATTAGTATTATAATGAATAAGTTTTTATTGACTTTGTTATTTTTGGCTAAAATTTCATTTAAAATAAAACAAGCTTGAAAAATTGGATGAAATTTAAACAGACTGCTGTGTACGCTTCTATTTATAAATAATTTAACTAAGTATTTCCGATGTTTAATTTTGTAAATATATTTATTAAGCATACAGATATCTTTTTTTCATTTCAATCCTAGCCAACAACATACAATTACAAAGATGTTTTAATTCTTTTATTTTAACTGACAAACCCAAACGTTGAAATTATTGACGAATACTTGAGTACTCGAACAATAATGTATCAAATTGCAGTACTGATGGCTAAATAGGAGTGTTGTGAGCTACATCCTGCTTCGCAGTCTTGTACGACGACGCACTGCTAGGAAGGATAGTGAATGCCTAAATGGGTCACTTTACTTGAACCAGCAACTCTAACAGGAAAACATACAACAGCTATTGAGAACCAACATAACAGGATATTTAACTATCGAAATGTAGCCGTTATTGACAGATATACGAGGCACTTGCAACATAGCATTAGCATGATGTCGTGCGTTTGTGGAACGGCCGCTGTAGGTACCGCTGACACCCTGCTCGCTTTGTACGAAATAAAAAAGTCGTCCGAGAACAGAACCACTGCCGTACCGTTCCAATGCCACAGCCGGCCGACAACAAACGTCTAGAGATGGTGCGTATTTACGTTACCGGTTATGGATACTAAGTATTGATACCAGGTATTTCCTTGCAAGTATACCAACCAGGTATCGGCCCGATATACTTGCAAGACTTGAAAGTATTTTTTCATTAAAGTATACGAGCCCTTCAAAGTAAGTATTACTACGTCGATCGAACTCGAACATCGAACGAATCGAATCACGGTGTGATCTGGTATGAGAAGGTGGAAGTACTTTTAAGACCTGGTACGTGATTTAGCAAGTATAACCCATCCCTACAAACGTCCGAAACCATAGATTACTTTACTCTTTGACAAACGTCTAAATTGAAACGAGACTTAACGTCAAGTTGACGTTATCACTTATCAAAAACAGATTGTGAATGACAGTGGCATTTGCGTACATGACAACTTTGTCTTTGACAAACGTCTATTGTACGACTGTTGACAATCATTAGTTTGACAGTGGCATTTGCGTACATAGCATTACAATTAATAACAACATTTTGTTATAAAAAAGGGATATCAAAATACTGACGAGTTTTAAATACAGATAGAGCATATGATAACATAGGTCTTCTAGCCATATGTCAAGGCAATAAATTTGGTCATAATGAAATACTCGACATCACCAACCCCAAACTATCCGAGGAGTACTTCTCCTCTACCAGCACCAGCAAATTATCAACCAACTACGGCCAGCGCAGCCGTAAAACGTTACAAATATTTGCGAAGATTGTATAAATTCAATCAAATGGACTTTGAATTTGCAGCCTGGCAAATGGTCTATTTATTTGTATCACCACAAAAAGTGTTTAGAAATTTTAATTACAGAAAACGTAAGTTATATTTTTGCTTTATTTGAAGAAAGAAAACTAACGTATTTAAGATGTTAGTTTTTCCTTTTGAAAACTAAGAATTTGCACTAGAGCAAAAGACCACAAGTAACATACTTAAACTGCCTTATATTGTATCCTTAAAACTTAACAGTTATTACTTAACTTATTAGTTATATAAAAAAACAATGCAATGGACAAAAGTGTCTGGCCTTCACTTTTATTCAATATACTTTAGGAATCTGAGTAGAAATCTCAGTGATAGCACCAATGATAATAATTTAAATAAAACTATTTTTATTGTTTTTGTTATGTCTAACTCTTATTTATGATCTCTGATCTTATGCTATCTTTTACTACAAATGGTGCAGTCGGTTTGAAATTGAATTCCTTACAATTCAAAGTTTGAATTATAAGGAATTTACTATGTTTAAAATCATAGTATAAGAATGAATTTAGAGTGTCCCATCATTTGTATGTACGCTTTTCAATACTTTCCTGTGAAACAAACATATGTTATGTTACAGATACAAAGTCACAGTTTGCCCGGGATGATCCAGCATTCTTAGTATTACTCTGCATATGGTTATTTTGTGAGTGTTGCATTTTATTATTATAAAGCAGAACTAAATCAAAACTTATTGTTTTATTTAAAAAAAAAACTTCGCATATCAAACTGCTTAATTTAAGAGTAGTTTAAATATATTCTTTATATGACAGCATGCAAAGTGATCACAGATCCATGAAATTATCATTTGTAGATAGAAGTAAAAACTAAATCTGCAAATTGATTTTTGAAGTTGCTTAGATTTGAGTTTAATAGATAAATTGTTTTGCATTGCTAAAATTCAAAAAAGCTTCTACTATGTAAAATGGCAAGATAATCTAGCCAACTGAGAAAAATATCCCCTATTTTTACAACGCAAAGATCTCTATCTTATTTTGGTCACCTAGAGCAACTTTACAGTGTGCTGAAACCCAAATAAAAACAATGTTTAGGTGAATAAATTTAAAACACGTGGTATTCTCTTTTTCAGTGTCGTCAGTATGTTTTGCCTTAGCGATAGGGCTGACTTGGAGCCAGTTGGCACTGTTTGTACTATTTGTGGTCTTTGTTGACTTCATTGGAGCAGGTATACTTGTCTCCACAATATTTTGGTAAGCTGCTCTGACTTTCCCGGTAAATTACAATTAGAACTATATATCTGTGTGAAGAAATGTTCTACAAACTAACTGTGGTATAACCATGCAAGTCTTCGCTGTTGCACAAATGGGCAGGTCTGTCTAGAGAAGTACCACAACCTCACAGAAGACCGGTGTGAAGTGGAAAAGTTATACATCTGCGTTTCGTTGGGTGAATTAGTTAGCCAGGGCCCACTTTATTAAAAGATGGCATGCATTTGCAACCCTACTAGTATTCCAAATGTCTATGGACGGCAGTTCTCAATTAACATCAAGCATGCGGCCAGCTCATTTGCACTCTTATTACATTAAAAATTACATAATGTATATAAACTTTACATGGACCTTAGCAATGGGGTCACGACGTCATTATTATTTATTGAAATGTTTCAGGTACCTAATAAATAAATATTTGAGGCGAGACCCAGCCGCATCGGACGTAGAATGGGGCTACGCCTTTGATGTGCACATTAATGCATTTTTCCCACCTCTGTCGCTGCTCCATTGCTTCCAGATAGTTTTATTCAATAGTAAGTTGCCACTGTTGATCTATTTAAATTCCCTTAGATTTATTTTTATGGAGTTGCTGTCACCGGTATCGGTAGTTATACAATTATAAAAAATAATTATAGAAAACTTTAAAGCAATCCTATAGCAATTCTTCAACCAAATTAAACATTTTGTCACATAACTCAGAAGTAGACTGCGTAGAATAAGTAAAACTTTGGGACATATACGTTTTTATATTTCTTTTTTTATATTCGCTTTTTTCTCGTAACGAATGTATACGTTTCTACAACAAAATCCCAGAAAACGTTCAAAACGCATCGATAACCAAATTTAAAAAAGTAGTAAAAGAATGTGTGTGATAAATGCTATTATAATATTAATAGTTATTTAAATGATAACACACTTTGGTAATAAATTGATTGTTTCAGGCTCTTCAATCAGAGTTCTTATATTGGATTTTTGTTATACAGCGTGTCGTTACCATCGCGACAATAAATGAACACACGTCTAACGCTACTTGCCAATAATCATAAAAAAATGTTAACGTTAAACAAAATCCATAATTAAAAAAAAAAACTTTTTTTCAAATAAACTAATTAAGTAAAAAAGAAACAAAATTTGTAACACCCTATACAACTCGCGCCACAGCGTCGTACTACAAGCCTCTCCTTCTAACAGTATGTTTTGTCTCTTTTAAATTCATTCAACCCATTCATATGCTTTGTGACCTTTACAAATGAACTTTACGTTACGCTTTTATAGGTAAGGGTGTTCTAAAATTCTTTGTTTTGGAAAATTTAATAACTCTGTAAATATTGATGATTAGAAGAATTTAAATGTTTAATATAACTTTAAAAAGTTATCCCCTATATGTGTGTTCATTTATTGTCGCGATGGCAACGACACGCTGTATATTCATGGTCAAACTATTTATTTAATTAAAAAATTGAATTTCTTTAGTGTAATTTTACAGTGGCTTTATTTTCCGAACTGGTGGTAGTATTTTGACTATAAGCGAGTGTAAAACTCTTATGTTGAATAAAGATATTTTACTTTGATAGAAAAAATTTTTTTTTTCGCTCAAATGAAATTGTTAATTTTAAATCGTCACTTATCACGTCAGCGGTGAAGGAAAACATCGTGCGGATACCTGTATTTTCTACCTACTTTAAATAATAAGAAAAAATGTTTTTCCAAAATAAGTCCGCCAATCCGAAGTAGTGTCGTGGTGGACATTTATAGACTGTAACTTTACTTTTTCACTTTTATAATTTTTCAGATCTTCTCATGGAGGGCGGTTTCATTTCTTGCGTGGTAGCGAACACATTCTGGTTGGCGTCTGTGATCTATTATTTGTACATCACATTCTTGGGCTATAGTAGTAAGTATTGTTAGTAAAATTACCTTCACTCTTATTTTTAATCAATACACAAACTCCTAGTACTGTAACGCGACAGGTGGTGGCACCAAGATGTCTTTTTATGTCAAATGTTGTCAAGCGAGCAGGCGGTTCACCTGAAGTTAAAAGATTACCGCCGGCCGCCAATGTACATCTAAAATACCTGAAGGTTTACATTGACTCAAAATACAGTGGGCCCCAGTTTCCTCACTTACTAGACGAAACGCGAAACTATAATACTTCTTGTTTTCTATGAGACCGTAGTACTACTGCATGGCTACCACCTAAACTGTGGTCTAACGTAGTATTTTAACAAGTATCTTATATGGAATTAGTAAAGTGGCAATGTATTAGTATGCGTCAAGCCGAATTAATTTGACCGAATCGACTTGCATAATTACTAAAACTGTAACGCCTACAGAATGCATATATAACCACGAACCCAGCGGTCGAAAATCGAATAGAAGAATCTGAATTATTTTAAATTTATTATAGTGCTAATCTCTGCACTTAAGGTTGTACATTAAAATTTGTAGAAAATGTACGAAAAGATTGTCGCCGCTGTGGGAATCGAACCCACGTCTTCGGCATTCGCGGCCTGACGCTTTAGCCACTAAGCTAAACTGCTAATTGCCACACCCACGAAAATCTTAACGTCTTTTATCTACATTGTTTCTTAGCATTTGAAGCAATGCTTGGCGCATCTATTGTTATATCCTTTCCAGCATACAAACAATTTCGAATATTGTTTTACAATGATAATTCGAACGAGAGACGTCGCCATTGCTTTTTAGAAATTTTAAATTTATTATAGTGCTAATCTCTGCACTTAAGATTGAACATTAAAACATGTAGAAAAAGTACGAAAAGATTGTCGCCGCTGTGGGAATCGAACCCACGTCTTCGGCATTCGCGGCCTGACGCTTTAGCCACTAAGCTAAAGGGCTGATTGCCACACCCACGAAAATCTTAACGTCTTTTATATAAATTGTTTCTTAGCATTTGAAGCAATGCTTAGCGCATCTATATATCCTTTCCAGCATACAAACAATTTCGAATATCGTTTTACAATGATAATTGGAATGAGAGATGTCGCCATTTCTTTTTAAAAATTTTAAATTTGTTTTATTCTAATCTCTGCACTTAAGATTGTACATTAAAATTTGTAGAAAAAGTACGAAAGATTGATTGATAGATGCTATTGTATGCTGGACCACACCAAAATTGTAGTAAAACTGACCCAAATTAGCGTATAAATTTAATAAGGGCAATATTTTTAAAATAAAACAAAAAAAGCCCTGTATGATTATAACAATGTCTGTATTTACTTTATTTAATTGCAGATCTGCCCATGCTACAAAATGCGAGGGTGTTCCTACTGCCGCTTCCGATACTAGTCCTCGCCTACCTGGGCACGTTAATAGCAAACTGGAATCTCAGTTTAATGCTAATGGATTTCTATCATTACAGATTACTTTAACACATCTTTTCTCGTTTCGAGTTCGCTTTTAAAAAGAACTTGCGTTCACAAGTTAATAACGAAATAAAAAGAAAAGCATGGCTAAAGATAAAAAATATATCTTTAGAGATGAAAGTGAAACAGATAATAAAACGGCCCGCACTCTTTTTATTTTAGAATAAGATATGAATTATATGATGTGAAACATCTTATACCACCACTGATTTGTATTTTAGAAACCTAATTGATTAGTGTAAAGGTAAAAGGTGAAATGAACAATTCGCAATGTACATACATATATCAATTTAAATATTTTGTTGGCTTATTCCCACTGTAAAAAAGATATATATGAATATTTGAATTCTATCGAATATACCCACAAACTAAGATGATTTATTTTATTTCAAATGAACAACTTATAAAGAAAAGTAATTTTATGGCGTCACAGTCAATTAATGACTTGTGGATAAAAAGCGATATTTTCAAAGCACATGTACCAAAACATTGCTGTACATTATACTAATATTTTTTTCTCTCTCTATGCTAATTAACAATTATGTCAAGTTAGCGCTAAACTGTATTAATCCTTTTCATTGTCATTGAGACTTTCTTTTATGTATTTTTTTTTTCATATTTTCAAAATCTTTACATTGTTCGTTCACCTTTTGGCATTTTCGATAAAATGTAATATATTATATATATCATGTCATGTCTATATCATGTTATTGTTGTTCATTCATTTCTATTACTAATTCATGAATATAAATTATGTCCTAAAATAAATTGTAAACTATTTCAATTAAGGTGTACTGAATAAATTATTACTTTGAATATTGAATTTGATACTTTTTAATTAATTAACATCTTATTATTTATTTCTACATAGCTTTTAATGAAATTGAATGAATATTACACAAAACAGGAATCAATATTTTTTTATTCAATATTTTATAACAAATTGGAAACACATAATAATATAACTTAGTTCAAATACACAAAGCGGTCTTTTGTAGTTACTTATTATTTAATCGTCATCTAAAACTATTACCTCATCAGACGATATTGGCTTTTTAGATCTTTCAATTTCTACGAAAGCCAAACTCTTCTTGGCTTCAGGTTTTTTACTTTGAATCACCGAAGCCTTTTGCATGGACGTCTTTGTTATAGTGAGCGATGAGGGGAGTCTACTTATCGATGCATTTATTTCCTGCGCTACGCTTTTTGGTGCTGGCAGATTTTTCTGTCGTTCGGCTAACTTCTCTTGCAGCGTTTTCCCGGGACTGGCTTGGTGGGGCAGTGGTGGCTTCGTGTGTATGGACGAGCTAATTGCGGGAGTACTTGACAAGTGCGCTTGAGTCGGTTGGGTGTAACACGAATGGGACGTGTGAGGCGCGCTATATGAGGTTATGTTAGCAGTCAAGGATGGCGGCAATGTCGGCAACACTGTCCCCATGCTAGGAGCCAGGGTGGTTGAGGCGGATTTATGTAAGCTGGTTATAACCGGCGTCGGTAGGGATTTTGTGGACGGTGGCAACGATTTAGACGATTTCAGTGACGCAGTGCTAACCGAGGCAGCTCTGCCGCTCGTGGACGGCTTGGGACCGCGTTTCTGCTTTTTCGGCGGCGGCAAGCTAAATGAGGGGTAACTCTGTCCGAGGAATTGCCGGTAGAATTCAGCTTGAAACGAATTTTGCAGGCTATTCTGTAGGGACGACTGAAGGGTGTTTTGCAAAGACGTATAGCCGGCTAGCGCGCTGATGTTGCTAAGGTACGACAGAGACAAAGCCGCAGCGGTCTGTTGGGTGAACAGCTGTTCGTTGAGCATGGGAACGTAGCTCTGGAATGCCGCTGCCATTTCATGAGCCGATATCTTCGGTAGGCCGGACGAAGATGACTGTTGACTTGGAGCGGACGGTGGCTTATCGGGTTTCGATTGCGTTACAGGCGCTGTTGTCGTAGTTTTCACAACTTCGGCGGCCTTAGTGATTTGCTTCTTCTGCTGATTCTGAGTCTTATCCAAACTCGCCATGGTCGCCTGTTGCTTTAATGTCTGGATTATGGTTTGACAGTACTTCATGCTGAGATCGACTAAATTGGCGTTTTCTGGGATCGGTATTGTCACGACTAATTTGTATGCGTCGATTAACAGATTTGTGAACTGTTTCGAGTTTGGTTGTTTCTGCGCTCTCTGGTACGCTCGGTAGATATCGAGCATCAAGCTCTTGAGCGTTTGACGCTCGACGTCGTTGCTTTTTAAATCCGCTTGTTGGCTGAATTTAAGTAGTTGGCCCTTCAACGATTGAACGCAAAGCGAAAATGCTTGTTGCGCCAATTCCTCCCTGTCCGAGTCGCGCAAATACTTTTTGTCCGGCTCTGGAATCCTCTGTAGATGTAAACTCAGATCGAGCAATGTTTTGTGATCGTCTATCTCTTTCAGTATCTCCATTGTAAGCATCACGGAACGATTCATGTGAAATGCGAAACTGCCAGCCCTATCCACTTCCGCTGAAGGTATTTTCCAGATGTTGTTGAAGAAATTCGAATGCTTTCTCTCGCTAAACATTCCACCAAGTTTTTGGCCACACCGTAAGGTAAAGTTTGACAACATAAGATCTCTACATCTTTCTATATCTTTACCTTTTTTGTAGTAAAAATGATAGTGTGCGAGCCGGTAAATCGCCTTGTAATGTGGTGGAAATCGACTGGCGCAGTCCTCCAAGGCATCTAAACAGGCGGAAACAATCTTCATGATCTCATTATCTGTCAGCTGCTTCGTGTCATCTGATGATTTGCTCGAACTGTCGCTATCTCTACTCGAATCGCTGCTGCTGTCTGACGAAGATTCACTAGAGCTAGATTCTGACGAGGAACTAGATGATGAACTACTGGAGCTATCATCTTTCTTATTGATAACAGCTTCTTGATCGATAGTAGGTTTTTCCGGTTTATCTGAAACACATTTCTCTTCAATCTTTTCTATTTCATTTGTGTTCTTGGTTCCTGCGTGTTTATTCGTAAACTTTTCTTGATCACCGTCTTTTATAATTACATCGCTTGCTTCTGCTACAACTGGCACAGAATCAGTAGCTTTAGTCAGTTCTGTAGAAGCATTTTGCAATTCTTTAGGTGGTACCCTCTCAGTGTCATAAGATGCCGATCTTCTTACTTTAGCAGCTGCTGCTTCGAGTTTAAGTTTCTTGGCTTCATGCGTGTCTTCCTCGCCGGCATCACTCACAGAGCGTTTGAGGATATTTCCAGCTTGCACAGGTTCTTCAATTTTGGCTTCGGCCTCATCACTGACACCATCCTTTCGAGTTTTCTTCGTGAACGGCCCGTTTTGCCATTCATCAATACAAGTTAAAAAAACTTTGCCAACGGACGATGGAATTGGTTTGTTCTCGTGCTGTTCGATGTACTTCAGAATTGAGGCGTGTATCCGATAGTGCAGCTCCAAAACTTCTATACACAAATGTGGTGGTGAATTATAGTTTATTTTTAATGGATAAGTGGCGTCAGTTTCATGTAAACTTTTCACTCCTTGCATATAAAAGTTCATATAAACCGACGGGGGTTTGTTTCGCTTTTCGGCCACTTTACCCAACATGTAATACAGCTGCCACGAATTTTCATTTGTTTTATCCGTATCGTTGCTGTTATTCAGGTCATTTAAAACTGTATTAAAACATTTACAAGTAGTGTCCAACATGTCCTCCTTTTGATTTTCCAAAGACTCAAAATCCTCCATGCTCAATGATTCGCTCGCCTGTTTTAATAATCGAGAGCAGAAAGAATGTACCGTGTATACGAAATTTCCATATTCAAGCCACAATTCGCAATGTGTAGGATCCAAATCCAAAGAGCGTTTGAAACACCGTATCGTTGATTTTGCTTGATTTAGAAATTCTCTTTCGTTGTTTAAGTTTTTACACGAATTTAAAAGTCTTTCCAAGTTTACTACTTTCGAAAGAGATATTTCTGCCCACGACTCTACCCTATCATTGTTTAATATCACATCGAGCATATTAAATTTAACCGCCATTTTGCCTTCTTCTTTTTTGAAATAGTAATCACCCAATAGAAAGTAGATGTCTTTCATCTTATAAGGTAGAAGCGGTGGCACAGACGGTAGCTTGTTCTCAATACCTTTGACATATTTCTCCATATCAGGTAGATATTTCGCGGGATCACTTTCTTGAGGTAAAAGAGCAAGAATACGATGAAACAGCTGTTCCACGTCGGCCGTAATACCGGAAACCTTGCCTTCTAAAGCTGGCAGTTCATGAGGTCGGAATATCTCATACAATTGCTGAGCTCGATTCCAGTCCAAAGAATGTGGTGTTACGTTGTGGTCTGTAAGATACTTAAACTTATTCTTCTTACCAGGATGACCATAGAGACAATATACACATTGTTCCATGTATTGACATACCAGTTCCAAGGACTTGGATAATGAGGGAGATCGCAAACGCGGTACCACCGTATCCAAAATAAAGTACAGAAGTTTTCCGTCTTTATTACAGCACCAACCTCTGTTTCCTAATTGTTCATGTGCAATAAACAGTATCATCAATGGATTAGGAATTTCGTCGCATGAAACTCTATCCATATCTGTGATAGACCTGCCTCTCCCTTGATCTTCTTCCCTTTGCAATATGTAGTGCATTATAATCCAAGGGGCAACAGTGCCAAATGGCATTTCTGAACCAGAGGTTTCAACTTGGTGACCAATTATCCTAATGAGATCCTCCAAAACTACACTTAGATCTTTCTGACTGACTGCCTCTAAACAAGTTAACCCTTCGTTACTTAGTATATGCTCCATGCATGAGAGTACTTTGACAACCGCCAGAGTCCATTTTTCATAGTCTTTTGATCCAGAAGTAAATCGAAAGTAATGTTTAAGAGTTTCATGTAAGCATGTCAGTGACCATTTGAAGCAACAATCCACCTTCTGCAATGCCCAGCAAGTATCTAATATAATGGACAATTGAACAGCAAAATCCAGAGACATTTCTTCCTCCTGCGTTTTTGCCAAATCTTTACAGTGCTCAAAAGAGTCAATCACAATTGACAGTACTTCTTCATAACTTCCCTTTTCATACAGTTCCATGACAGTTGAGAGCTTTTTGTTCCTTTCCAAGAACTTAATGTACTCAGAGATTTCAGCTTCATTTAATAGAGGTTTGAAAGTAAAATTACTAATAGTCAAACTATATTTGTCATGATGATCTCCCATAGCTTCAAACTCATCTAAAAGTTGATACAGACAGTCAAGAGCAAATTCTTCACACTTATTTAGTATGTGAATGTGAAGTTTCACCCACAGTTGCCTAAGGATATATTGTAAGCAGTCAGTACTTGAAAATACATGTGGTCTCAAAGTCAACATCATTCCAATAGTTTCAATAACCCCTAGTTCATGCGCTGACTTTTCGCTTTCATTTAGCTTAGCATTTACTGATATTTCTTCTGCTAAAATATTTGTTGCAGTGTAATGCAGCAAGTCCTCGTTATTATTGTCCGTGCAAGATGGAATATCTATGTGAGTGTTGTAACATTTGTTTGCCTCAACAAAGATACTAGGTAAACCTTCTGGCCATTTCGAGTTCCACTTTTCACAGAGAACCCTCAAATAATCCCTTAACATATCTATAATGTCCCGCTTATTGTCCTTATATTTATTAATAAATTCTTTAACATCTTTTTGCTCACTTTCAGAGCCAAAATACTCATCCTCAATTTTTTGTTCCATTTTTTCTTTTTCCTCAAATAACTTATCTAAATCAGCTACATCTGGAGAAGTTTCCCTCTGTTGATTCTCTTTTTTTTGTATCATCTCTGGTGTTAAGGCTATTGGTACCAATCGCCTTAATGTATCATAAATGTTATCGTCACAGCGATCCTGTTTGCTTGTTCCTGGTTTCTTTCGTCCAGAACGACGTTTGTTACACCATTCCCATTGCTCTAAGAAGCTTAGTGCACTTCCTCTCCGACGAACTGGCGCTTTTTTCTGCGTTTTAGGTTCTGGTGCGGATTCAGCAGCCGATTCGGACGCAACCATTTCAACGTCACTTTCAACTTTCTCTGTGTCAGTAACTTGTTTATCAGATAGTTCATTATTTTCATTTTCAGAAACATTCTCAGTATTTTTCTCATTGTCTGTGTTATTCTCTTCTATTTTATCTATTACTTCCAGGTCAATAACCTCAGTTTCACAAACTTCCATTTTCTCTTTGATTTCAGGTTTTTCAAAAATTAACTCAATATAACAAGCATGACTGTAACAATTTTCTGACATGTAATGATGCATATGCACAAGTGAGTCACCAACATCATTCCATGTCAGCTTTGTAATTGGCTTTTTTATTTTTAAATTGGGCAAAACATACTTAAATTGTTCAGCCTTCTGTTGCTCTAAAAATGTTACATTAATTTCATCAGCCTCCTTAAGAAGTTTCTTACCTTTTTCATCATCTAACAATTCATCTTCCTCTTCATTCCATTTATATATTGGGTTATAATAAGCCATGTAATTTCTTATGTATGGAAACTCTTTATATATGTATTTTCTATAAACTAAACCTCTCATGTAACCAGGATCTAGCTGAAGAGCATCGTAAATAGTTGTGATACATTCCTCTTTGTAATCTAAACCCAAAAGTAATGTGACTATTTTATCTATACATGGCCAGTGTCTAGGATTTCTATCAACCCCTCTTTGAAAAGAATGTAATGCCATTTCATAACGTTTGACACGCATACAAAGAAGTCCTAGGCGGTGCCAAAGAGTTACATCGGTATCGTCTAGTTCCGAAGCTGAAATATACGATTCTATGGCAGCATCCACATCGTCCGCTGCGCTGAGCATTGAAGCCAAATTTTTATAACATAGATATTTCAAATTGAACAGGGGCCCAGCTACTTTCTCCCCTGGTGCGGGCTTGTTCACATTATACAATAATTCGGTATCAAGTAAGTCCTTCAAGAGCTGAGTTGCATCTGGCAGATTACCCTTTCTTTGCAGATCGAGTGCTTTAGCATATTGCTGCAAGGCGATCTGTTCAAGCGCTTCTTTCGTAACCTCTTCTTCGGAACCACTATCCTCTTCAGATTCATCATTTAAAGCTGATATTTTGATCATTTTTTATTTTATTTTTGGTGCTATCCACTAATTAGTATTATAAACAAACAAATCGCCGGAGACAAATTTTACATTGACATTTACTTTTTTTTTTATAAAGATTTTATGGCCTGATAAGAAGACCTTTAAGCCAAGTTATAATTTTTAATAGATGTCATTTAATAGGGTTGTCAAGTAAGGAGATACATCAATTTATCGATATTTATAAAAATGTCAATATCGGCCTCAATATATCGGGTATAGTTCTTTGTCCAAAAAAATATGCGTCAAGTTTTAAATATTTCACATCTGCAGATTCAGGAAAAAGAAAAAAATGTCGTTTTTAAATAGGATTGTCGATATTGAAAAATTTGTATCGATATGTTGGATTCAAATATATTGGCTGAAAATAACGAAAATATGGAGTGGTAGTAATGTTAGTTCTAGAAATTCTCCCAGTCAGATAAAAGCTACCGATCGAGCCGAGGTCCGGCCGTCTCGGGCACCCTCGAATCGGAATGCTAAACGCGTATTGAGTGACAGCCCACGCCGAGGTCTCCTCTCGGGTACCTGGTCACTCCATGGAGCGTCCGTCAAAGCAAACTAAGAGCTTAGCGGCCTACCATACCGGTGATAATAATAGCGTGACGGCCCGAGCCGAGGCCTCGGGAGCCCTCGAGCTTAGTCACCACAACGCGTAATAATAATACTCCGAGGTTCAGGCTAGGCGCCCCGTGCGCCAGGCCTCCTAAAGTCCGTCGGATCTGTGAAGGCCCCTAAGGCCAATATATCGAATAATGTGGCCCATCCAGCCAAAAAAAAAAAGTATACTATTACAATTTTTTTTATATTATGTATTTTCTACATATTTTAATTTATTTATATTATTAATCTGTCGTACTTGACGTCTGTATATAAAAGTAAGGTTATGTTTTTGATAAAAATCGAGTTGAATAAAGTATAACCGTAGTAAAAATTTTATAATGATATCAAATACCTCAATTTTGAACCGTACATTGCCGATTTTATTACAACGCGCGGATGCACATAGGAAGCCTCGATGGCTTCCCGTGGCGAAAAGTAAAATATATCGCATCCCGAAACGTCCTGTAATTAGCTCAGAAGAACGGATGGAACTATTTAGGATAAACAACAATTATAAGACTCAAATGCGTGCGATAAGACGCTTTTACCACGAGGAGATGATCAAAGAAAAATCTACCCTTGAGAGTGCTAGCTCAGAAATGTCACAAAAATTGGAAGCTGAAGAGTGGGAACAATGTGTGCAACTGAACGAGAAATGGAATGCCCAAGTGGCTGCAGAGCGAGAGGAGAGGAGGAAAAAGGAATTGGAGGCAATGGAAGAGTACGCTCTTAAACGCATTGAAGCTAAAGATAAAGCTTTAAGAAAGAGAATTGTAAAGGCCTCTGAAAAAATTAAAGTGCAAAAGGTATTTTATTTAATATTCTTATTAAAACAAAATTCACAAGGCAAAAAATCTTATCTTAACATTAAAGTTTGTAGAAAAAGTATGTCCTAAAAAATAATAATACAGAATAAATTCTAGATTTAGATTTTAAGTCCATCAGATTCATTTTAAGAATATCTAGTTTTTGGACATACAAAGTAATGATTGTCTTTGATGCAGGTCAATTGCAAATAATTTATAAAAATTTTTCAGAGTCTCAGCAGTACTTTTATCACACCAGAGAAACTGGATGAGGCAATAGATTATGCACTAGCCAACCCAATAGACTACAATTTTGCTATTGACCTACAAGGCCAGCGATATTATGGAAGAGACACACCTATACCATCCAGAGAAAAGAAGCAGAAGGCCGTCGAAAACAATTGATTTTATTTTATATATCTCTTTAGATTAATTAATTTTTAGGAATAAATATTGTTGAAACCACAATATTTATTTTTTCATAGCCTATTAAATGGCCTTTAACAAATTTGAATAGTAAAAGAATTTTTTTCTACTTAAAAGAAGTAGTGTAAAAAGACTAGAAATGACATTGTTAAAAAGACATGTAGTTTAGTTTTATTTGATCCTATTTTAGGTGATTATTCAGTATTTGTGAATTAAATAAACACATAAAATAATTAAATTTCTTACACCTTTAACAATAAAAAAATTATCAATTGTGAAATTAAATGAAACAACACATAAACACAATTATTTAATCTTACACAATATGATATACTATACAAAAACCGTTAGTTGTTTTGAAATGCGAGAACAGTTATTGCGTATTCTGAGATAAGGAACGATGTTTAGAGTGCCATGTGAGTGAAGAGAGACTGCCAATGGGGGACTGCATTCAGCTTGTGCTGGAGCCCGCCCAGGGCGACGAGGCGAGCTGATTTCGAGCTGTGGTCCACACCCACTGACACCGCCTCTTGGTGGAAGGCGGCCTTCGTTCCAGGGCACACCTGACACGCCAGATTGATACATTGATCATTATTTGTTAAAGGCCATGACTGCTTGCGCGTTAAGAGTTATATAAACAAATATAAGAACAAATTAGGTTGTCAATTATTCTTAAATTGTAATTAGTAAGAAATGTGGTTAAGCAAGGTTGATATTTTTTATTAAATGTTGTTTCTTAACTGATATTGGAAGTTAAGTAAAAAGCGGAGATCCTTGATGTTGATCCTCGATTTGGTGGTTATCACTTTTTTTTTAAAGTTAGCTGAGCACTGCGGTTATCCTCATTGGTGGTCTGGTGAGGCAAACCAGCAGCTTCTGCCACGGGAGTACCACAGCCTCACGAATGACTTCATGACTTCCGCGTTTCGTCGGGTGATTGAGGTAACCGGGACATACTTTTTAAAAATTGTCAATGCAGTTAAAAATCCGTCAGATTTTATAGATGTGAACCGCCTATTAGATTGACAACTTTTCATATGAATACAAACTTTACAAGTATAGATAGGCTGGAATTATTTTATTAATATAGGGTATAAATACCTCAAACACTGTGTCGCCCAGCGTGAGAGTGACTCGTCCCGATCGTCTAACCTGTAGCTTTCCTATGCGCCCCTCCTCCAGATCGGAAAGTCGGCATTTGTTGTCCACTGGCTCAGCAGGCTATGAGTTTGTATCAAAGAATTTGTGATTAAAAAAAATTGTCCAGCAAACTATCAGTCTATCAAGATCAACAGTGTTTCTTTTTTGAAATTAAAAAAATAGTTTGGAAGTTTTATTTAATTTCTTATTAGCTTAACTCCAATAATTTAAGCATGTTTAACAATTATAAACTAAAATAAAAACTGTAATAAAAATTCAATTAAGAACAGTAAATAAAAAGATAAAAACTAAGCAAAAACGGACTACTATGAAAGTAGCAGAATGAACATGAATTAAAATCAAACATCAACAAAAAAGCATAAAAAATGAAGTCAATTAAGAGCTTCCTGTGCATATTTTTTAAATTCAAAATATTTATTTGAGAAAATGTCTATTTCACGCGCATTATTACAGGTTTTCGCAACAAATCCAAATCAACAAGACTGTTCAGGGGGCGCATTAACTCACACTAAAAGTAACAGCCTATACATGTCCCACTGCTGGGCAAAGGCCTCCTCTATACAGAGGGTATCAGGGCATAGTCCACCACGCAGCCCCACTGCGGATTGGCGGACATCACATATTTTCGAAATGTTTTTTTTTTTTGTTATTATTTCGAAAATATGCAGGTTTCCTCACGATGTTTTCCTTCACCGCGTAGCACGTGATAAGTCAGCACTTAAAGTTAAAAACTTCATTGGTGCCGGCACCTTGGATCGAACTCAGCTTGCTCGAGTATATTGAATTAAAGGCGAGCGCCCGGGCACTGAGCTATCATAACTCACACTAACAATAACAATATTATTAATGGCAAAAAAATCCACAGTAACGTTTGTTCATAGAATATTAAGAAGTTTCCAACAAGACCCTTCGAGCAATTAAGACCAATAAGTGTCCCAAATTATCATACACTAGTGCTTTACTTACTGCGTCCTCGGCGGGTGGTTCGTTGGAGGTGTGCTTTCTTCGTACGGGTTCGTCATCTCGAGCTCCCCCCCCTCCTCGGCCAGGCAAAGAGTCCGGCAGCTGCAACAGTTATAGCCAGAGCTGTGTATCTATGTATGGAAGCGGAGTTATGTATGTGTGTAGAAAGGGTTGGGGTAGTAAGTCACAACAGCAACCTAGAAGATATATTGTAGTCTTCCCTTCGAAAACATTGTCCCTTAAGGTAGGTTAACATTATCCTGTGTTGTAAGGATGTGTTTCGCGTATGTAAATCTCACGTGGACAAACGCAAACAATTATCACGTCACACAAATAGTGCATCTCGCGACGGAATCGAACTCCCGACCCGCGGCTCAGAAGCTAATACCATGTACGCCACTTCCATTCAAGTTAGCAATGGTACAAGAATTAGGTGATGAGTTTCATCCATCATATCTCTGCACTAAGGCATCTACCAGTTTTACAGAGGTGAGAAAACAATAATCAGTTGAAAAAAAGGAAATGTAATGGGACCAATGTTTCTGCAGCAGATACAAAAGACTGAAATGATCATATACATTTCTAAGTGTATCCATTTTTTTTAAATTAAATTCTAGACATAAATAATGTTATATAAAAATGATAAATATTTAAAATCACTCTTAATTAATTACATTCATTTGAACTTATGTCAAAAAGTGCGTGATTTATACAACCCATTTATTTTACGCGCGATCATTCATAACTAACACGCACACAAGTTCGTGCACAGTAAAGTTTAGGTATTTATGAATGACTACTACGTATTTTCAACACGTTCTGTTTTTTAGAATGGCACTTTTATTGGGAAAAAAACGTTGTTTTTTATTTCAATAAACGATTATACTACCGAATCTGAACCTCCTGTGTAAATTTGGGCACTTCTCAAAAAATCTCCCTGTATACAATTTGTATCCAAAAAGTGATGGATGTTAATAACCTCTTATGATATATTTGTGTACCTGAAGCAGTATGAGAGTTGGTTTGTCGCTTTTCAGCAGATTCAACACATTAGTGTCTTCAAACTCTCCTGGGAGTGGTTTCTCCTCAACATCTGGCACTGCAATACAAAAAACAAAAAGTTAGAAAGCCATTTCTCACCGCTGGGCACAAAACACCTCTGCACATAACCTCTGTAAATGTCTTACTTTGTACTTCAATTCAAAATATTTGAGCCTAACCTTCATATGTGAAGTGATCACCGTCGCCTATTCAAATTCAAATTTAATTTAAAATATCTTTATTCAAATATGCTTACACGTTCTTATGAAACGTCGAATTTTAAATAAAAGTTGGTAAGGTGCCACTATGGATTAGATATACATGTAGATATAGACATCTACAGTTACAGATGCGTTAGCAGCACCCATTAAAATTGAGGGCCACAACTCTTAAGACAAAAATCAAAAATATAATATATAAAAATATATTTTTTCCAATTCATGTCTTCTCTGGACGAGCATGTCCATTTGTGCAATAGGAGTTTTAGCAGTAGTCATAATCATGAATAGGAAAATGGGAAATAAAGACAATAATATAATATACAGTGTGTCGTTACAACCGCGACAATAAATGAACACACGTCTTACGTTACTTGCCAATAATCATAAAAAGAAACTAAATTTGTAACATCCTACACAACTGACTGATTCATACATTCAGAGACTTTTTCATTCGTTACCGTAGCGTGGCATTACAAATCTCTCCTTCTAACAGTATGTTTTGTCTCTTTTAAATTCATTCAAACCCATTGATATGCTTTGTGACCTTTACAAATGAACTTTACGCTTACAGTTTTATACGTAAGGGTGTTCTAAAATTGTTTGTTTTGGAAAATTTAATAACTCGGTAAATATTGATGTTTAAAGAATGTAAATTTTTAATACAATTTTAAAAAAATCGCCACACTCTTCGGGAAATAAATCCCGAAAAGAGTGTGGCGATTCACTTCACACGAAGTACCTACCTGTCACATCTTTATAATGGCCCTCGCCAATGCAGAAAGTTGGGGCAAATATCCCTTTATGGCCAACCGCTCCCCTGGGAGAAAAAGGTCAAATACTTAGGAGTCACTTTCGACTCGCGTATGTCATTTACTACGCACATTAATAACGTTCGTAATAGAGCCGCGTTCGTCTCCGGCCGGCTAAACAATTTAACTAACGCTGAAAGTAAAATGCTCTTAAGGCACAAATTATTATTATATAAGACCTGCGTACGACCTATTATGTCCTACGCATGCATGATATTTCGACCATTGTACAAGTTGCAAATAGTACAAAATAAGTTTATCCGCCGCGCAACCGGTGCGCAGTGGTATCAGCGCAACGTCGACCTGCACAGCGATTGCAGACTCCCGACGATTTGCACACATTTTAAAGATTTGACAAAACGGTTCTTCGATAGAGTCCAGCATCATCCCAACCCTCTGGTGGTAAGCGCAGCAAACTACCAACCGGAAACTAACGCGAACGTAAACAAGCGTCGCCCGCGAAACGTCCTCATCGACCCGGTCGACGAAGAGGACTTAGATACGATGGACCCACCGCCGGGGGTCCCGCCGGATAACACTACACCCACAGTTAGTGTAACAACAATCACACCAGTTCTCCGAGCCCGAGCACGGCGAGACCCACACAACGCGTACACAAGGTACACCCGCGTTCCGGGGCGGTTCTCACCGCTCCCAGCCACCGATTAGCTAAATGCACAGTCGACGGCCGTAGGGGTCTCGGTCCGAACCGGCGACCCCGACGGCCCTTAGATGACACACCATAATTAAACGCACGCATGAGCACATGCGCGACCCTACCCATAGCGGAGGGTCCAAACCCGTGGGTTCTGGCTACACCGGTTCTGCGTCCGATGAAGCTTTAATAGTCTCGGGACTGAAAGCAAAAACATCAGTTAATACAAGATACATTCGTTACCGTAGCGTCACATTACAAATCTCTCCTTCTAACAGTATGTTTTGTCTCTTTTAAATTCATTCAAACCCATTCATATGCTTTGTGACCTTTACAAATGAACTTTACGTTACAGTTTTATACGTAAGGGTGTTCTAAAATTGTTTGTTTTGGAAAATTTAATAACTCTCTAAATATTGATGTTTAAAGAATGTAAATTTTTAATACAATTTTAAAAAGTTATTATCTATATGTGTGTTCATTTATTGTCGCGATTGTAAAGACACACTGTATTTATAGTGAAACATATGTCAGATGGACTTACTCGGGCAATCAGCATAGTCAGTGGGCTCTTCCTTTACAACCACCTCCTGCTTGATCTTCACTGTAGTCTTGGATTGGCTGTTGAGCCATACTGTGGATACAAAGCATCTTCTTTATTATCCTTTTGCTACTGGGTGATAATCTGATGTTCATTATAAACTATGTAGCGTTAGCTGTCACTGTGCACCTTAAACCTGTAATAACTGGCCTAAAAAATAAACCAGTAAATGACACTCGAAAGTGTGAAATGAAATCGAATTTTAACTATAACAGACTACAGAGAAATGTTGATATGTTATAATCCAGCAGTGCTCCGCATTTCTGATACATAAAACGGAGAATACTGGCACATTTCTTGTGCCAGTATACTCCAAGTTGATTTAAGTAGCAAGTTATAAAGATGCAAAATATTACTTAATACTAAGTTATTCACATAAGATAACCCAATGGAGTGTACACCAGTCAACAACACTAGATGAGTTTTAAAGTACGAATACTTAACGCTGATCTTATGCTAGGCTGTGGCTCTAATTTATATATATTCATCTAAATATATTTCAGGATACATTTTTACACAACATTCACTAGTCTCCAACTAAACAACGCTTGTATCATGAGTACTACTCTTTTGCAAATAAATATTTCAACACCCAGACAACAAACACATGTTCATCACACAATATTATTCCATTAGTGGGGATGAAATCCACAACCTCTGGAGCACAAAACAGGTTGACTGCATAGTACTATTAGCTGCTATTTTTTCTTCACTTATACTAAGACCTACCGCCATCATCCATGGGCAGTTTCACAGGTGCATCAGTCGCGAACATCCGTTTGAAGTCTTCGCTTTCCTCTTCGCCGACGCCGCTATCGCCGAAAGCGGATTTAATCTTCTGCTCCTCTAACTCTTTATCAATCTAGAAAGTGAACAAAATACACATTTTGGGTTAGATTGTTTACTGTAATCTGCTGTTCATGTTACACTTTTACAATAGAAAGGCTACGCGCCCTTAGTTCACTCAGGTCAATTTAGTTTTTATAAAAAGTTTCTCAAGTAGGAAGAAGAACAAAACAAGAACATTTATCTTTGACCACCTCCCCTACAAGTATAGATACCGGTTTATTATCCCATTAGTCACTATGAACAGTCTATTGCGAATATTTATTTTAGTTATATTTTATAAATATATAGTTGAAAACACTTCAAAATTTCGTGGTTGTTTTTATAAAAAATTGTGGTAGCTCCAGGTCAAAAAGGGGGAAATAATTATAAGTCGAAATATTTGATTGGAAACAGCTCCAACGATTTTCATGAAATATACCATGTGGAGGGTTTCGGGGCCTATAAATCGATTTTTTAGAAAACGTCGTTTTATCCGTGTTATAAGGCAATAGAAAATGTCATTAGAATACGAAGGTAAATTACATCAACAAGGTAAAGGCGGTAATCGGGCAGCCTGAAACCAGGAGATCAGTGTACGAGTCCAGTTTTGAATTTTTTGTAAGAAAAAGTTCCTTCTTTTGTAAGATAAAAAACCTCAGAATACAGAACCAATGAAAGCTCAGTCATCATCCATAAACATGTACATATAGTAAAAGTTTTGCTTATTTTAGCACATTACTAGACAATGTTATGAATAAAAGTATCTGAAATATCAATATTGGATACTAGTCAAGAAAGCAACAAACATTTACATTGACACAACATGCATATGCAGCATGTGTCGTTATAACCTTGACAATAAATGAACACACATATAGAGGATAACTTTTTAAAATTGTATTAAGCATTTACATTCTTTAAACATCAATATTTGCCGAGTTATTAAATTTTCCAAAACAAACAATTTTGGAACACCCTTACGTATAAAACTGTAACGTAAAGTTCATTTGTAAAGGTCACAATAAATGGGTTGAATGAATTTAAAAGAGACAAAATATACTGTTAGAAGGAGAGGCTTGTAATGCGACACTGTGGCAACCAATGAAAAAGTCTCTGAATGTATGAATCAGTCAGTTGCAGTTGTATACAAATTTTGTTTCTTTTTTATTTGACTACTTTGTTTGAAAAATATATTTTTTTAATTATGGATTTTTTTAATGTTTTATATTTTTTTATGATTATTGGCAAGTAGCGTTAGATGTGTGTTCATTTATTGTCGCGGTTGTAACGACACGCTGTATATATAATGTAACACGTAACATGCAACGCGACGCTGTGGCAACGAATGAAAAAGTTTCTGAATGTATGAATCAGTCAGTTGTAGTTGCATAGGATGTTACAAATTTTGTTTCTTTTTTATTTAGTTTATTGAAAAAAATTTTTTTTACGTTTATATTTTTTATGATTATTGGCAAGTAGCGTTAGGTGTGTGTTCGTTTATTGTCTCGGTTGTAACAACACGCTGTATATATACACATAAGTAAGACTTACTTTGATAACATCCTTAACTCTAATGGTGGGTTTCTGAAGGGTAGGTTTTGGCTCCGCATCGCGTGAATAAGAACTACGGGTGTAATGTCTCTCCACATTACCCAAACCTGAAAACAGCAAATTCACTGACTACAATAGCCAAATGATAAAACAAATACATCCAACGTCAGAATCCTAATATGGGAACGAAAACCTCTAGCATCGCCTTATTCGGAAGACGCCCATTATTTAAAAAAAAAGAACCAGAAACAGCAATTAAAACTTAATTTTTATCTTAAAAATATGTAAACATATAACAGGATGAAATTTAATTTAATATGCTTCTTTAATAAGTATTCAGGGAATTTGCAAGGATAGGATAGCATTCCATATAAAGTTAAGTAGATATAAGTTTTATTAAGTAAATTAAATAGATATAAGTTTTTATACATGTTTCAGTAAATAATAAGTCTTCTATTTATAAAATTTTAGCAATATTTATGACTCTGTTGGCATCGTTTCAAAAATTTGAAACGATGAAAGAATCCTAGACAAGAATCTGTGCTATCCACTGACAATTGTTCTTAACCTGGCAAATATGTGTGCGTATAATATCTTGTGTGTCCCTATAATATTGTTGTAAAAAAGATTACTGAAATATCATTTTACCTTCAGAAAAAACTCCAGTGGATTTAATTATACGTGGCCCATGTTTAGATTTATTATTGACATGTTTGTTTTGTTTTCTGCCTTTGTCATCATTTTTACTGTCACGGATTTGGTTTGCTGATGATGGCCTGGAATTTAGTTGAAAACATCATTATCTTATAGATAGTAGGAATGAGTACAACTAGTGTAAAGTAACATTATGTATACTTTAACATTTCATCTAGTGAGTGCATATTTGCTCATTCTACTGGTGGTTGTCATCAGGTAAACTGCTTGTATGCATTAGAATGGTTAATATCAGTTAAAATTTAAACAATTTATATGTACAATTTGCAGTCAGCAACTTCCATGTTCAGATTAATTTATAAAATGAATATAATTATGTATGATTTATATTTCACCACATTATTAAAACAAACTAAAAGAATAAAATAATTTCCAAGGAATTCAGGGACATTTAAAACCCTGAATAGAGTAGAAACCTCTAACAGATTTTCCAGAAAAATTTAAATTTTTGATACTCCATAGCTATGTAATTAATTGTAAATTTTAGAAAGGTATGTTAAAAAACAACAGATTTGAATTATTAGAAGTGAAAATCTGTCATGCCTTATGCTATAAGATAATTAAATGAAAACTGAAGAGGTAACCTATAACTATTGGTAAATAGCAGGAAGAACTCAAATTGAACCATATACAAAACTATGATTGCAACATACCGGTTGTTTTTATTTCTTGTGACATTCAAATTGGGAACAAAGACTTTTTTATTTGGCTTTATTCCTCCAAGTGAAAGATCACGCGGTGCTTTTAAAGATGCAAGTCTCTGTAAAGGGTCAGACCCCACGCCGTTCGAACTATTTTGTTCCGAATTAGACATTTCTTTATATTGATATAAAGTTATACTTTAATTTACATACCGCAGGTATTTAAACCAATATATGAATACATGTCAATTAAATGCGAATTAAGAATCCAAACAAATAACAAAATCACAAACAAACAATAATATAATAAAACGTCAAGACAAGTGACATATGTCAAATTTTTTTTAAATTATCATAGCATCTGGGGGATTTCTCTATACAGACTATGATTAGACCAAAGTCAAAAACCTAATCAAATTACTCTTTATTAATTCAAAAATAAATATCACCCAATTGTATGTTAGTTAATTAACGCTAATTGAACGTAAATGCCTTTATTGGCGCACATTTACAGCGTCGCGTTGTCGGATGGTTGCGGGAAAATCAAAATTGTAAACCTCACATTAATTATTCGTAGAGATCGTCAAATTATATATAATAAGGTGGCCATTTCTTACTCACGGTCCGAGGGGGTTGGGGATAGATTCCGAAAGCTTTTACCAGCGGAAATATTTGACTAATTAATGAGTATGAATTTTACGGTCGCAATACAATTCGTCGTTCTGAACATACTACAGGACAATAATAGCAAGATATTGGAATCAATTTTGAGTTTCACATGATTAGTGGATATATGCGCGAAGAAGACACACAGGAGGTATATAATTTTACGTTTACCGTTATTTATATATTTTTTTATTTTGTGGGTAATCTAAATGACAATTAAACATGTTCACCTTATCCGTCTCATCACAATCGATCATAACAAAACTCTGCTTGTTATCCGCCAACAATCTTCACTTATTTTCTTTGTTTTGTTAACGTGGCGGAAATGCGCATACGCGTACCCACTCTTACGCGGTAAGGATCGATTGTATTGCGCTAAAACAACAATGAATCCACCTAGGGCGCATATCAACAGGATTATGGGAACGTTTACTTCCCTGAAAGCGGTGTCCGTCTCAACAGTCCAAACTCAATGGAAAACAAGGGAACTACCTTCTCCTCCAAACTGGTCTGCGGCTACACCGCTCCCCACGTTACGGCGGTGGAGTGTAGGGAGACCGGCATCGCAACATCGACACTCCTCTCTCCACGCTGCTCCATCACTACTGCATCGGTGGATAGGGAAAGCGGCTAAATGCAATACCAACACTACTCTTACTATATCTTGGTTGCAGAAGACAGAGAGAGTGCCTCCTCCTCTACTACACTCGATCTGTTTCCGCACCCTCCGTGTTCGCATTCAAATCAGGCTCAATGAGCCTGCACTACAAGCTAATTAGAGGGGTACTGAAAATCCTAGGTGAATGGTAAATCGCGATGGAAATATAGTATGAAAGTAGCAGATCGCGATGTATGCTTGCGACAGGGGTCAGAGGAGTTGTCAACGTGGGTAGGATTTGGTAGTGCTCCTTGATGAAGCCAAGAGGAATCCATATTAGGCAACCTATGGTATGGCAATGGCCCGAGGATTCTACTCCATATGAGTCCATTGATACATTATATGTCCGGGAATGTTACTTATTCGTATGACATGAATTAAAAGAGCGCGTTAAAATAAGAAAGATTTCAAGCAATTGAAATAGCTTAATATTTACTATAGCCGACTCGCCTCTATTACCTAAATAATACCAGCGAAAATTCCATAATATAATATCCATATGACTCGGGAGCTCAATCGGGAATCGGGATCAAATTTTGAATTGCATAAATCACTTTAATAGAGATGGGTCGTATCGCTTTTTCTGAGTACCGTAACTGAATCAGATTTCGATGTCAAATATCAGATTTCGTAACTATGTATTTCAATATCTAGATATTTTACGGTCCCGTATCCACCCTGAATTCTAAAAAAAAATGTTTTCAACAATATTTTATATTTATTATAAATATAAATTATGCAGGCGTATTTAAAAGTTGATTCATTCTATGTACATAATTTTCCTGATATTTAAAACTTTACATTATATATTTATAACTATGTGTGGGTTAATAATTCACGTATTTCACGTTTACGCACGTAAGCTGGTTGACTTTATTCGTCGGAAGTCTTGTTCGACGATCATTATACCTAAACATAACTAGAGCTATTACCAGTGATACCAACTGTTCAAAAAGAATACTTCTAAATGAATTCGAAAACCCACTAAAATTGACTAAATTCAAAAAACTTACTGAATTTAAAATCACGATTTTTTTATACTATTAATGTAAAAATAAAACATTACCTGATTGAATTAAAAATTTCATTAAAAATAGAAATTGAAGTAATATAAAAATGATTTATTTTAACATCTTATATATCGCTTAATAATTGACTTTAACATATTCTTAGAACACGACATGAGTGACAATATTTTTATAATTTGTGTAAGAAATAATACATTCAGTATTATAACTTAGGGCGGTAGAATTTAAAATATACACACAAAGCACGTAAGCCTTGGTCTGATTTCCACCCAAGCAGCACAGCACTTTACATTATATTTTTCTTTTGTGTAGTTTTATTTTTTTCCAAAAATATGAATAAAATTTAACTAATTAAAATATTCACAAAAAATTTACCTCCTAAAAATTTCCATTTATATTTTCCTTAATTTAGGCAGAAAATTCTTAAGTAGTAAGTTGGCATCCCTTACTATTACGTGTTATGTACCAATGCAATCCAACTCAAGGCTGAACAAAATTTAAAGACATCGTTAATACCGTAATTCGTATTTAAATGCAACTAAAAATGTTTTTTTCCATGCTGTTAAGATTCAAAATTACTTAACTGCGCGCTTTGTCGTCCGTTACGGCTCAAGGCTAAACAAAACAAAAATATACTTAAGGGCGTGTTTGCGAAATCTCGCGGAATCTGCAAAAATAGGGGGTTTTCAGGTACATTTTGCGGCAAAACGAAACGAATATAATGTAAATAACAATTATCACATATAGATCCCTCCTTCATCTTCAAATGGTAGATAGTTTTTTTTTAATCGAAAATTTTGGTTTATAATATTGTAAATGAGAATTTTCGTGACCACTTCACTCAAAATGGACGAAATCCTGTTGGGTTTAGGAACATTTTTCTCTTATTTAATAACATATTTTTTTTATTCAAAAATATTTTATGTAAGCACACATGTTCAACTCAAAAAGGTAGCTACATTACGTATCAAAATTGTTGAAATTAGTTTCAGAAAAAAATAAAGATTAAAATCTATTTCTTTCACATTTATATCTTACGCGTGAATCTTAAGTGATTGACATAAAGGTTATTTTACTGGTCACTTTTTTGATTTACTCCACAAAAATATTTAAAGAAATATTAGTCGGCGCTCGGCTGCCGTCATGAGTGGTCACTATGTCGCTTATAAACAGCAGCTCGTGAGGAAAAAGATCGCTGTACGAATACAAAATATTTGTCGTAACAAAGTTGATACTTTACACATCATGTTCGGACTTCGGACTACGAACGACAAAAGTAAACTATAATTCACACTTTGTCATATTTTTACTAGAAATTAGTAGGGGTTAAAAAATTCATATTTCGTTACGGACTTGATGGAGTGACCTGAAGGTGTACTTCGAGAACTGCTACTGGAACTAACAGACGAGATGAGCTATGTGTGTCGAGTTTGGGCTTGTTTTGTTAGGTATGGTGAGACCTTGCCTTCTGATTTGTTGGAGTGACCTGAAGGTGTACTTCGAGAACTGCTACTGGAACTAACAGACGAGATGAGCTATGTGTGTCGAGTTTGGGCTTGTTTTATTAGGTATGGTGAGACCTTGCCTTTTGATTTGTTGGAGTGACCTGAAGGTGTACTTCGAGAACTGCTACTGGAACTAACAGACGAGATGAGCTATGTGTGTCGAGTTTGGGCTTTGTTTTATTAGGTATGGTGAGACCTTGCCTTTTGATTTGTTGGAGTGACCTGAAGGTGTACTTCGAGAACTGCTACTGGAACTAACAGACGAGATGAGCTATGTGTGTCGAGTTTGGGCTTGTTTTGTTAGGTATGGTGAGATCTTGCCTTCTGACTTGATGGAGTGACTTGAAGGTGTACTTTGAGAACTGCTACTGGAACTAACAGACGAGATGAGCTATGTGTGTCGAGTTTGGGCTTGTTTTGTTAGGTATGGTTGAGACCTTGCCTTCTGATTTGTTGGAGTGACCTGAAGGTGTACTTCGAGAACTGCTACTGGAACTAACAGACGAGATGAGCTATGTGTGTCGAGTTTGGGCTTGTTTTATTAGGTATGGTGAGACCTTGCCTTTTGATTTGTTGGTGTGACCTGAAGGTGTACTTCGAGAACTGCTACTGGAACTAACAGACGAGATGAGCTATGTGTGTCGAGTTTGGGCTTGTTTTGTTAGGTATGGTGAATCTTGCCTTCTGACTTGATGGAGTGACTTGAAGGTGTACTTTGAGAACTGCTACTGGAACTAACAGACGAGATGAGCTATGTGTGTCGAGTTTGGGCTTGTTTTGTTAGGTATGGTGAGACCTTGCCTTCTGATTTGTTGGAGTGACCTGAAGGTGTACTTCGAGAACTGCTACTGGAACTAACAGACGAGATGAGCTATGTGTGTCGAGTTTGGGCTTGTTTTATTAGGTATGGTGAGACCTTGCCTTTTGATTTGTTGGTGTGACCTGAAGGTGTACTTCGAGAACTGCTACTGGAACTAACAGACGAGATGAGCTATGTGTGTCGAGTTTGGGCTTGTTTTGTTAGGTATGGTGAGATCTTGCCTTTTGATTTGTTGGAGTGACCCGAAGGTGTACTTTGAGAACTGCTACTGGAACTAACAGACGAGATGGGCTATGTGTGTCGAGTTTGGGCTTGTTTTGTGAGTTTTTTTGAGACCTTACTTGAAATTGATGTATTGGCATGAAGGTGTAAGAATACAGTAAAAAAGTTATTTAAAATATGGAACTATGTATTCTACATCAATTCTGTGTATAAATATTTGTGAAACATGTTAATATAAAAAAAAATTGAAATTTAGATTATAATTATGATAGGTCAATAGAGTATAAATATAAGTCAAAGTAAATCACAAGTCAAAGTAATGAATTTTTAATATAAACATTCTACATTATTTGGACATGATTAAATATTTTAAATGTCTAATTTGACAGTGTACAGATTTTAGAATTTTCGTTTTAATTTAAATACTCCGGGAGGCCTATGAACCTATCTGGTATTTTATTATAAATTCTTATTTCCATGCAGCCAAATGTTGGCCAAAAGTACACCACATGTAGAAAAGTTGTATGGATAATTAAAAATACAAGTAATACAAAACAAATTTGCACACTTGCAAATTGTAAGATTAAGCATGTCTAAAAGGTAATTTTTTTGTATATTCCAATGAATAGGTGTAATAAACATGTACTTCAAAAGTTTCGAACGACAGCTATGTGGCAAACTTTTTGTTTCACGTTTATGACCCCATTTATCGTTTATTGTTTTGTCGTGTTTCGCACTGATCAACTTGTATGATCATGGATTCTGCCTAAAATAATACTTAATTTTTTTAATGACTTGCAATCTTTTGGAACAAATGGTATCTATAGTAAGAACGTCTTTAAAATAGGCAAAACACGAAAAAAAAAATTTTTATGGCACAGTTATCACATACAACATTTATACCTCTTATAACTCAATTGTTGTTTCAGATGCCAAAGCCTAAAACGATAAAATTTTAGCAGGCTACTACTTCGATATAGATAACAAAAATAATTAAATGATAGAGAACTATAAAGAAAAATCACAAAGATCCGACACAGAGCACCCCGACTCCGTGTGGTCTTCCCTATCCATAGAGTGAACATCAAAAGGCGGAGCCAGAACCTCGTGTCGGAGGTATAAATTGGCCTCGCGGGCTTGCTCCACCCAGGATCGACATAGCGACAGTTCTGGCGAAGAGCATGGAAGAGTCAAATTAAAAAATGAAACAATATTTTTTAAGCTATTGCACAGCTTTTATCGCGGGCTTTGAGCGCGGCGAACGAATCAATAAATTCCGTAACGAAAATAAAACCTAACACCACCCACTCCGCCTACCACGCAAGAGGAAAGATTTGATTGTTTTTATGCATTGAATAGGCTCCTTGTAAGCTACATTATCCCCGGATGACATAGGATATATTAAATTTTCAAAAAACTAGGAATCCTTACTAAAACTTGAATAATGTAACCCAAAGTGTACAAAAATTACCTAAAATATTGTTTGCATCGCGTGCGCTGCTAAAACTATTGATAATTGTATAAAATAATGTACTACGAATTTGCAGAACACATCATTATTTATAAAAAGTGTTTCGACAGTATATGTCTAACTATTATAGTTATGCCACAATAAGTATTCTTTTACTTTAAAATTTTGATTGAAATGCCGCCGCTAGAAAAGGCTCTTTATTTGTATCTTGGTATTAATCCTTATAAAAATTTAAATTACTTTATATTTAAGACTGTTTCAATATCTTTATATAACTTTTTAAATGATTAAATTCGGACATTCCATTCGAAAGAGATCACAAGTTTAAAAATGTTAGTATATTGTAATTTAACTATCCAGAGCTTAGTGACTGACTTAGTAGTTCTTATCATTTTTGTAAATAATATAAATTAATTATATTATTATTAATTATAATATATATTAATTATTATATTATTAAAATATTATTTATTAACATAAATATAAATATCAAAGAAAAAAATACTGCATAATTAAATAATTATAATCGCATAAGTTGATAAAAGATGCTATGCTATAGCTTTACCCCAGCTGAGCCGAGTGCGACAGGTTTTTTTTTATAAAAATGTTTTTTAATTTTTACTAGTTTGTTTCCTTCGTTTTATTATTTCATTTTTAGTTTCTAGATACTAGCCCGGCTTCGTACGCCATGCTATTTCCAATTCATTTACAGAAAATTATTTTTTTTAACATTTAGCATGAATATTATTGAATCAGCAAAATGCATTCAGAATACGATACAAAGTATTTTACTCAATTCGTTAGCGGGTTTTACCTAATTATCTGCCTACATAGCTACCTTCCTACGTACCCTACCATTACCTACCTATCAAGCTATCTACCTACCGCACGCATAATCAAACATGTATTAAACAAGCTTCGTTTTCTTCATAAAAATTAATTAAAACATAAAATTAAATTATATACATAATTAATTAAAACGCAAATTATCAACAGCTACGAGCTTTTAAATGAAATTTAATAAATTATACCTAAATAATTATATAAAAAAATATTCAGTTTAAAAACTTGTTGAAAACAAATTTAACGTAAACTTAAAAAATAAATGACTTCAAATTAAATAAAAGTATCAAGTTGCGTCAGTTACATAAAGTTTCGCTGCTTCGCGCTTGTCGCTGTGTGCGTGAGCCGTGCACGTGTAGTAGTACGCCTCTGTACCTAAAATTGAAGCGCGTGAATTCGTAAACGCGTCCTTAATAATATCGTTGTAGTAATCGTTGATACCATGATTAGTATTTAATTGAAACGGATCTTATTTGCATGGCTTTAAGATTCAAAATTACTTAACTTATTCATAATATCTGTTTAAAAATCTGATATTGTGCCTTGCTTGCCATACTGCTCTAACTAGTGTAATATTTGTATCTCACGCGCTTTGTCACTCAAAATCTGTTTGAAAATCTGATATCGTGCATTGCTTGCCGTCCCGCTCTAACTAGTGAGTATTTATATCTCACGCGCTTTGTCGCTCGAAATCTGATATCGTGCATTGCTTGCCGTCCCGCTCTAACTAGTGAGTATTTGTATCTCACGCGCTTTGTCTCTCGAAATCTGTTTAAAAATCAGATATTGTGGCAAACGCGTATGATATCGCGATTCGTGTTGGTATAGCGAGCGAGCACGGTACATCAGATTTCGGAAATATCAGATATTGTAAAATACATGTATATTGAACGAGCCAGTAAGCGATATTCGGATATTGTACCAATTTCTAGTTTTCACATCTGATACGATTTGTATCGCCCACTTCTACACTTTAATATTGTCGATCGTGATCTGAAGGCGTTTTCTCGGAGAGTTTAAAGTTATATTGAAAAAAATTCTGTAATAATTTTTTCTATTTTTAGTTTTTGACAAATGGGTCAAACTCAACACTAGTAACTCAACAAACTAAAACAAAAGATAAAAAAACAAACAGAATTTAAAATTGAAAAAAACCGTTACTAGCAAGAAGCAAGTACCAACTGTTGACTTGATTGACTGTTTTGAAGTTTCGAGTTGAAGTCGCATTATTATCAAATAATTACTGTTGTTGATTGATATAACATTTTCTCTTGTCTACAATATATATATCTTCATTGATTTTCAACATGTCCGAATCACTATTTGATATTTTCGGCGATCATATTACAAGACAGGCGATGAAAAATGTATCGCGCCAACCTTTATCAAATATTGGTGAGACAATTTTAATTTATTCAACGAAATGTGCGATATAAATTTGAGTAAACCTTAGTAACTTTTTTCTTATTATAACAGAAAACATGGGAAAGACCGTTTCAACGGGACCAATTAAACCGAACGAACCAGTGAAAAAAATTGGCGAGACAAAGAAATCTTTCCTTTCCAATAACGGTAAGGCTTTACAAAGTACACCAGCACGGAAAGTATTCACGCCGAAAGCTGTTAACGTCGGTGCGCTTATATACAACGATGACGACGAGAAAGTTGAAAGAGGATGTAAATTCGAAGATATGGAGTTTACAAAGCCTTCATTCAAATATGGTATGTAGGTAATCATTGCTAACAAAGTATTACTTTGAATTCTTTATCCTTATATTTTTCTATTTTGGAAGGTAGTTGCATTTATTTACCAACAAATTTACTTTTTTCTTTTCTAGATAACTACCAAAGAGACTTATTTGATTACCTTCCTCTACCAGAGCAAGAAGTGGTAAGGGATGTGTCCCCTCCTAACACTCCCCCGCCAGAAATAAGGAGGCACTCATTTGATTTAGACTGCTCTTATCAGGATGAATTCTTTACAGGTAAGATAAGTTGTACTTTAATTCTAACAATCTGTGCAGTGAATTGATGGTAGATTTTATTAATACTCTCTACCTTGAACATAACTTTCAGTGCCAACGACTCACATTGTGCTATTCTGTAATGTATGTAGAAATACTTGTTATAATGTCAAATTGTGAGAAATTTAAGGTTTTGTTTTACCTGTCATCTTTTATTTGCGATAAGTATCAAAAGTTACTCAAATACCCATCCTTTTTTATATTTCAAATATTTTATATAAAGGGTTTTTTTTTTCAGATGATTTTTCCTATGGAAGTATCGGTGATGACGATGACCTTCACTTGCCAGCTCTATACTAATTTTTTTATACAAATAGTGGAGGACAAATGCACACTTATAAGTCAACTGATTAAGTCATATACTGGAATAAATATCTCATATTCCGCCTATTAGTCCTGTAATAATTTAAAAATTGTGAACATTCAACAAAAATTGGAAGTATCGACAATTACATGTATTTTAAAACAAACAAGTGAGAAAAACAATTAATTTGTTTTGATTGAAATCTTTAGTGCATTAATATGCAAAACCATTTTAATTAAAATAATACAAATAATGAAACAAAAATTAAGCATAATCTTTTTATTGGATTCCATCAACCTAGCAAATAATGTACTGGAATGACACTGACTACTTTTTGGATTAAATTATCTTACTTGGTTGGCTAATGACCTCACTGCTTTTTTGGACTCCCCATAAAGGAAGCATTATTAGCAAACAGTATCATATTTATTGTTAAAGTTATCTTACTTATGAATAAAACAAAATTCTTGTTTTTCTGATTATTTGTAACAGTTTAATTTTATTAAAATATGTTCCAATTAAAAGAATTGCGTATTCATTGCATATGTTTTTTAGAAAAAGAAAGGGTTTACACTATATACAATTATTTTAATAAATAATTCTATATACAATTATTTTAATAGCAACACTTAGCAACAGGAATATTTTTTTCTCATAATATTCCAGACCATTCACAACATAGTCTGATAGTATGCCACATAATGTGCTAGATCACTAAATTATTGCTTTTTCAACATTCATTATGTTAAATACTTCTTCCCAAGGAATTGCACTTTCTTTTCAAATGCAGGTAAAGTGATCAGGGTGTCTTCTTTATAGAATGGGTTGAGCATAAGTTTTATGTATGCCTCATAAACATCTGTGAAGAAGTTTTTGATTCCATCTTCATTGCGGGCATCATGAACCATAACAAATCGCATCTTCAAAAAAATTTATATTGATTTAATAAATTAATTAAACCAGTATCAACAAAACATCTTTTTCAATTAATTTCTGTAAGTCCTAAACAGTAATAATAATTCCATATTAAAATAATCATAAAGAGTAACAATTATTAAGAAAAAGTCAAAAATTTCATCCCATGTATTAATTTTACAAACAAAACTATAATCATATTTCTTAATCATGTTAAATACTAAAAGATATGTCATACATGTATGTGAAATCAGAAACATTAGTAATGACATGTTATATTTGTTTATCTTTTTTTTTAAAAAATATGTAGTGTAAGCTGTTATACCTGACTGGCTGTAACAAACGCTGACACAAACCACTGGTTAAACTTATCCACTGACTTCAGGTATGTGTTAGTCACCTTCCACATATGTTCATCTACTAAGTCAAGTGCAGCATGGGCTATGAATTGATTCAGGTGCCTGTTATCTTCTTTCTAGAAAAAAAATAAAACATTCCGTAACTTATTAGAAATATTGCCTAGCCTAGCAATTATTAAACATACATTTATATACCTTTACTTCCTTTGTAACTGGGATGAAATCCATTTCAAATATGGGATTATCAGAATGCCCAACTATTACAAAGTAATAAGTGCCCGCCATTCTTGTTTATATAATTTTCTCAGCATACAGTACTTTAAAGATGTTGAGCACTCTGAGTTGTCGTGCTATAATGGTGACAACAACTTCTTAGAAAAAGTATTCGAAAATCGAAATGTTTCCTTATTTATTATTTTTTGTAACAGTTCTTCTTCTTCTTTTTCTTTTTATTAATGGCTTGCTTTGTGAGTTATCACAATTACGCCAATGTCAGTGACTTAAAATTCTCACAAGTAATAGGCAAATAAAAACTTCAAAAATCCATCATGGTGGATCCGTAACAGTTCTTAACGTTAACATTGTGAGTGACACTGACAAGTGACAACTGACGCGGTCAGAATAAGTAATAGCTCAAATAAAAGTAAAGTTACAGCCTATAAATGTCCCACGGCTGGGGCTTGACACCGGTATTTTTCCTTCAATAGTGAGCATACGATATGTCGGCATTTAAAATGAACAATTTCAATGGTGTCGGCACTAGGGATCGAGCGCCCGGACAGTGAGCTATCACAGCTCTTTATTACTAAATATTCTTTATTGTTTATAGATTTTCACTTTCAGAAATAAAACAGGATTTTACAATTAAAATTAGCTTTTACGATTTTAATAATTATTATTATTCATTGACCGTTACACTAGTTTTAAGTTTTCACTTCTCCCAGCACTCGCCTAGAATAAGGTGTGGTTTGGCCGGCAGCTTCAGCAGCTACTTTCAAAAAGGTCTGCTTTTAACAACCTGCGAACTCATGAGAAATAGCTGGTGCACGTCGATGTCACCATGACGCTGGCGGCAGTTAATTGTTTCGTTTTTCTTTTTCTTTGCGACTTCTGCGTTTCGTTTTTCGGGTGAGTGAGGTAGCTGGGGCCTACTTTATTAAAAGGTGGCAACGCATCTGCAACCCTACGGGTATTGCAAATGTCCATGGCATTAATATCAGTTGTACCGCCAGCTCGTTTGTCACAATCTCGGCTTTGACCGTCGATTATGATTCCCCAGAGACCGTCAAGGGCGATAATAATCTTATTTGGCTGGCTCAGCGACCCAAAGAGGATCTTGGCCTCCGACACAAAAAGACGCCACTGCTTCTGAAGAGCTGCTGAGAACAGAGTTCTGGGCTGTTCCTTACCAATTGCCTGATTGGAGAGCTCTCAGATCTTTTTGGTCTTCGTCTTTCCAACGATATCTGGAATATATATATAAACCATTTTTTTTTCATCTCTCTTTTTTTTCATATGGTCCGTGAAATCTATTCTCCTGTTAACTATATTTAATCTTTAATTTTTTTTTTAATTTTAAGATAATAAATAAACACTTTTGATATTATTACACTAGTCATAACTACTCCAGTACCGTAGTCCCATTTCGTAGTTAAAAAAGTGATAACAGCAAACACAATTACACATTTCATTTTCAACACTTTCCCGCTATTTTTAAACGTGAAAATATTGAGCGCAAATTGAAATAATTCTGATTTTAATTTTAAAATGTGTGGTAAGTATAACAAACTTGCATATAAATTTTACATATTTAATGAAGTAGTAGTAAAGTAGTAATAATATTTTATTTAGATTCTCTTATAGCCCCAATCGATAATTTTATGTTGTGGCGAGTTAATGGGTGGAAAAAATTAGAATGCAGTGAATTTAATTTAACTTTGAGAGTGCATTGCAATCAGTTACTTATTACTTCAGAGTCCAATATTTTAGAATCAATAGACATGACAGAAAAAGTTAAGGGTATTTTCAAAGAAGATATTTTAATATTATATGTACGTCGAACGGCTCAAGATGTAAGTACTTTTATACAATTACTAGCGACCCGCCCCGGCTTCACATGGCTGCAATTTATTATACATATAAACCTTCCTCTTGAATCACTCTATTTAGTAAAAAAAACCGCATCAAGATCCGTGGCGTAGTTTTAAAGATCTAAGCGTACATAGGGACAGACAGACGGCGGGATGACTTTGTTTTATGCTATGTAGTGATTGTGATGCACAGCAAAGAGTGCACATTTCAAGTGACATTTTACCACACTCACTCACTTGTTTTGCCTTCCCGGAACCCCTCCACTAAAACTTAAACTTTATTGTATGGTATTAAAGTTCAAATTGACTTAAGCATTATTACAAATCTTTTGTACGGGAATATAGAAAAGTGATGTCTTTAGACGTTTTCAGGCAATTTTTTAAAATTTTCTCTCCGCAAGAACCATCTTCCTACTTCAAAGAATATTGTAAAAAAAGAGTTAGCGAAATCGATCCAGCGGTTCACGCGTGATGGCGTGACCAAGGGAAATAGGGATTCATTTTATAGATATAATATACAGCGTGTCTTTACCACCGCGACATTAAATGAATACACGTCTAACGCTACTTACCAATAATCATAAAAAAATATTAACGTTAAAAAATCCATAATTAAAAAAAATGTTTTTCAAACAAACTAATTAAGTAAAAACGAAACAAAATTTGTAACACCTATACAATTACATCTGACTGATTCATAGATTCAGAGACTTTTTCATTCGTTGCCACAGCGCCGCATTACAAGCCTCTCCTAGCAGTATATACTGTCTCTTTTACATTCATTCAACCCATTCATATGCTTTGTGACCTTTACAAATGAACTTTACATTTAAGTTTTATACGTAAGGGTGTTGGACAATTTGGTAACTCGTTAAATATTGATGTTTAAAGAATGTAAATTTGTTATATAATTTAAAAAAGTTATGCTCTATATGTGTGTTCATTTATTGTCGCGATGGTAAAGACACGCTGTATATATAAGAATAGAAGAAGTAAGTACTTTGATATGTACTTTTAGATAGTGTTTTATATTTTAGGTACGCAAATTCAAATTTCGGATAAAATCAAATGCCCATCAGTGTTTCGAAGAGCTCAGTAAATACTTTTCTGTTATTTGCCATGATTCAAAATATTCTATAAGTTTCATTACTCCTCGATTTAAAAATGTAGAAGAAGTATTAACACGAGCACTGACTGAAAAAGGTAAATTAATAGGTACAATAAAACCATGTGACTAACATTGTACTTTTATAAATTAGTAAAGGTAAAGTTTCTGCGCGCATTATTGAAGATGCATGTTCGAATCCCCGCAGCACCGTAATATTTTCGACATTTTTTCTACTTAAATAAATTATTTTTTTATGTCAAACTCAAAAGTTGTACAGCAAGCTGGCGGTTCATCTGATGTAAAAGTGAATACCGTTGCCCACGGACATCTGCTAAACCCAAGGGTTTGCAGATGCGTTGACAACCTTTTTGATACTGGGGTTCCGGCTACCTCACTCACCAGAAGAAACGCGAAAATATTATACTTCCACTTCACCCCGGTCTTCTGTGAGGTACTGACCCGGACGAGCCTGCCCATTCGTGCAACAGTCGAGGCTGCTGCGTGGCTCTACCATAGTCTCATTTTAAATTTCAGTGCAGAGCACTAAAAATAAAATTAATCATAAATAAAAAAATTGCGCAGATTAAAAATTATTATTGAAGTGTATTCTTAATAGGTTTGGTATTGGTTTCGTTTTTGCTTTTATTGGAGTCTATTGTGAAAACTGATGTAAAAATTCTTATTTTTACAGATTCCACCGGTTCAAGCTTGCCACCATCATTTAAAAATTTCATAAGGCTTTGTCTTTTAGACCCATCGTTTCCAAAACTGGTGGAAGAAACACAGAGCATTCTAAATAATAAATTTAATGTGAAATGATTCTATAATTATAATATAAATTTTACTAATAAACATTTTCACCACTTATTGTACCCTATTTCCGTAATATTAGCAACCAAGCGACTTCGAACATTTGACGCGGATGACTTTTTTTTTTTTTTTTTTTTTTTTTTTTTTTTTTTTTTTTTTTTTTTTTTTTTTTTTTTTTTTTTTTTTTTTTTTTTTTTTTTTTTTTTTTTTTTTTTTTTTTTTTTTTTTTTTTTTTTTTTTTTTTTTTTTTTTTTTTTTTTTTTTTTTTTTTTTTTTTTTTTTTTTTTTTTTTTTTTTTTTTTTTTTTTTTTTTTTTTTTTTTTTTTTTTTTTTTTTTTTTTTTTTTTTTTTTTTTTTTGCTGGATGAGCCACTGTTGGCCTCACTGTTGTTCACAGATCCGACGGACTTGAGGTGGCCGGGCGCTCGAGGCGCCTAGCCTGAACCTCGCGTATTTACTATTACGCGTTATGGTGACTAAGCTCGAGGGCTCCCGAAGGAACCTCGGCTCGGGCCGTCACGCTATTTAATTCACCGGTTTGGGAGGCCGCCTAGCTCTTAGGGCGCTTTGGCGGGGGCTCCATGGAGTGATCTGGCTCAAGGGTCCCCGAGAGGGGACCTCGGCTTGGGCTGTCACTCAGCACGCGTTTAGCATTCCGATTCGAGGGTGCCCGAGAGGGCCGGACCTCGGCTCGATCGGTAGCTGTTATCTGACTGGGGGGATCTCTAGAGCTATCATTACTACCACTTCGTAAAGCGTTGGCGCTGGGAGAAGAAGTGGCGGAAGAAACTCCAGCAACGCTTCTATCTTGAACTGGGGAGAACCTGCCAGGTACGTGGCGGAACCTAGTATATGTTTACCGCACTCGCCGGCGAGTGCGGCAAACATATACTAGGTTCAGGGAAGTCGAGAACGTGTCGCGGTCTACGGTGATTGCGGCGGAACGTACCTAGCGGCAGGGGTCTGTAGGTGGCGGCACCTACGATTAGCGGGTTGGGATGCGCGGCGGCGGAATCGAAGTATCGGCGCGACGCCGACTTCAGGAATTGAGCGATGGTGGGCAACTCTAAATCGACATGAAGGTCGATATTGCGCATGTACCAGGGTGCTCCCGTGGCTCTGCGCAAAAATCGATTTTGGATGACCTGAAGCCGGTGAATTTGCTTCGGAGCAATGTGTGCGAAAACTGGACTCGCGTACGTCATTATAGGGCGAACTACTGCCTTATATAGAGTCACCTTGTTCCGAAGGGACATTTTAGACGTTTTGTTGAGGAGCGGATGGAGGCGACCGAGTACGAAGGCCGCCCGGTTCTTGACCGAGTCACGTGCTGGTTAAATCTTAGTTGGGAGTCAAGGACGACACCTAAATATTTAACTTTGTTCACCCATGGTATCGGACTATCCATGAGTTTGACGGGGGGTGGTTTATCTACATTTTTGTGCGAAAAAAGGACGGCCGCGCTCTTGGCGGGATTGATTTCGATCCTCCATTGCCGAAACCAGTCACCGATGATGATGGCTGCAGCTTGGAGGCGTCGATGGATAATTTCAGATGTTCTGCCTGCTGTATAGAGACAGGTGTCGTCGGCAAATAGGGCAAGTTCTACATCTTTGACTCGCGGCATGTCATTGGTGTAGAGCGTAAAAAGGACTGGGCCCAACACCGACCCTTGAGGCACCCCGGCTCGAACGGGATGCGTTGTCGAACACACGCCTTCGACGCGATAGCGAAAGGTCCGATTACTAAGGAAGTCTCGTATTATGCATACGAGACGATCGGGCACTTCGAGTCCGTATAACTTGTATACGAGCCCGTTGTGCCAGACTTTATCGAAGGCCTTTGCCACGTCCAAGAAGAGTGCTCCGGTGTTGAGTCCGCGTTGGCGTTTAACTAGTATGTGCTCCGTGATGCGGTGCACTTGGTGGGTACAAGAATGTTTGGCTCTAAAGCCAAACTGTTCCGGGATGGGGAGCCCTTTGGCGTCCATAAGGGATCTCAGTCGGGCTAGTATAAGTCTTTCAAAGATCTTCCCAAATGTTTTGAGAAGACTTATTGGACGATAAGAGGTTGGGAGGGTCGCGGGTTTGTGGGGTTTGAGGAACCCTATTACGTCAGCTTCTTTCCACTCGGACGGGAAGAAGCCTTCGGTTATAGCCGCGTTGTAAATTAGGACTAGTATCTGAAGGATGCTAGTAGGGAGAAGTTTGGTCACCTTATTGGTGATACCATCTGATCCAGGCGCTTTGCGTGGGCGCAGTTTGTTAATTATTTCTGTGAGTTCCGAGCACGTGACCGGGGGAACGGGATCGACGCGGATGACGCCTGCGTTTGAATTTTTAACGCACTTATATCCACAGAATCTCTAATTAGTGCTATTCCACTTTGAAACAAAAATATTGGGTAAAATTTTACCCAATATTTTTCAAACACTGTAATATAGCAACCAACGTGGTTAACGTTGATTATTACAGCCAATTAGATGCCAACTGAAATTATCACTTGCTTGCAATGCAATTCAATTCTTTCTTCCAAATGAACACAAACAGATATACAAAATTTTTATTAATTACAATTTTAAACTAATAATAAAAGGATGCAATGCTGTCATAAAATAGAGAAAACTTGTTTTCTCTTTTCATTGAATGCTGTATAAATATATCGGCTGTATAGTTTTTTCTCCTTTGCTTCTTCCTTTTTATATTTTAAAAGTAAAAAAATGGCTGTTTTATTTTGAAAATGAAACTGAATTTGAAATTTGATTTTTATGCATTGCTTAGCATATTTTAATAGTAACAAATATTTAATTTAACCTGATATCATAGATTAAGTGAAATGATTCCTAGTAAATATGTACCCGGGCAATCGTCCGCGGCTCGAAAATCGAGGTATATAAGGTTTTTTTTGGTCACTAATTTTAAAATGTTATGATGTAAATTATGTTTTGGTATTTTTTTTTTAAATCTAGTTGTAAACTTTGTAGAAAACAATATTCGTAAATATTTTGAAGCTTGCTAGCTTTTGGTGCAACTATGATTGGTTTCGTTACAGACTAGAGGGCAAACCGTCAATGCTGCCTAAGCCGCGAAGACCGGGCTCAACTGACCGATTTTCCACAGAGGCTCGCAGGCCTAGCACTGCTGGTCATCGTTCGAGCAGTGCTGAACCTCCAAGGGCTACTCTTGGCGGTGGACGGTTGAGTAGGGAAGCATCCGCCACTAAGTTGTCAATGAATCCAGTAGGTTTATGAAGATATTTACTTACAATTTTTTTTTGCTGGATTATTACGGTTACAAATATATAAAATTCGAATAACATAAAATTCGAATATATAATATTATGGAAAGTATGAGCACAGTATTAGAATATCAAGAAATGACATCGTTTTTTTATACCATTGCTTTATAAGATTTATGAATGCTTGAAATTTACTTGCTTTATGGCATTTACTCTTTGTAGGTACTTTTGTTTCAATTAAATTTAACATCCTAATCAGATATAAAAAAGTGTCAATAACAGTTTGTTTATTTTAATATTTGTTAAAATTTAAGAGATCCAGATCGCAACAGGGTGATGCAAGGTATGGTCAACCTGCAACAACTCCATTACGTTCTAGCCACTACTTCCGAACAACCACCACTCCACAGGTACAGATAAATGTTTACCATAATCTTGTACTTGCTTGAACTTTTATAAACGTCATTTGGTCTTTATGTTTTTGTCATAATCTTAGTATAAACCAAGTAATGTAACCAAACCACTGTTTTTATTTACTTATCTGTTATGTATTTGCAGAGAACACCATCAGAGGATCGTGCAAATCCTAGTTGGCAAACATCATTAGATAGAGCATTGGCCTTTGTTACTGTCAAAGATCAAAGGTCAGTTGATATTGTAACAAAACAAATTTTTTACCCTTTAGTAAAAGCTTGAAATGTCTTGAATCAAAATTGTACAGTTGTTTATCTGTCTGATTATCTAGTATGAAATATTGTATAGTTTTACAGTACAAGACAGGTACAGTGTATCTGTAAATGAAGTGTAAATGAGTGAATGAAATAATATCATGGTTTATGATAAATAGCAGATGATTCAGTGGCACAGTTGCCAAGCTATTAGTTTCAGCTCTGGGTAGTCATGTGTCGATTCCCACAATAGATAATTGTTTTGGATGTGGGTGTTCGTCAATGTGTAAAAGAATGCTGTATGATGAATGCCAGGGTGCTGTCAAGTGCGGCCTGGCAGCGCGCTGAGTGGCAGCGCGTGGGCGAAGCCCTAGCGGCGCGCGCGGCGTCTGCCGCCGAAGGGGGAGGGGGCATGGCGCTCATCCGGCCCCTCACGATCGCGCGCTTCGTGGAAATCACCGGAGCCCTGTTGCAAGCTATCACCAATGATGCCGCCAAGCTCAACACCGATAACTACCTTACGAAGGTACCGGCTCATTGCTTTTAGCACAAAAATCAAGTTATTGTATTGTATCCCCTAGTGAAGATTCTTGGTCACAAACTAGAGTTGTTTATGACTGTTAGACATATGGTAGGAGGTTTGATAAAGCTCCAAAAAATATATAAACTGCTTGTTTATTTCTAATATCAGTTTACACCAGTGTATTTATCTACTTCACTAAATACTTGACCAGTGTGAATTGGGCTTAAAACTATTCAGCAACTTGTCCATCACCATTTGTGCCAGCATCGAGCAATATATATATATTTTTCCAGCTTCCACACTTGTCTAAGCGTCTACTGTACCCCGGTGCTGTTTCCAAGAACTGGCTGCGGACCGTTAACACACTCCACGCGTTCCCGCACGCGTTAGCGCTCATTGCTTACCTACTGGATCTCGCCAATCACATTGTAAGTGCGACGGATAAAGGTATTCATTGTGGTTAGCTTGCAATGGCTTCCGCATTCGCACGAATGGGACGAAACTTAAAAAAATTTACTACTGCAGTTATGAATTTTAATCAAGTCTTCTTCTTTCTTTAATAAATGGCTTCTCTTAAAAGAATTCTGCCAATATCATGTCAGTCAAAGGAGTGACGTGTATTTTAATCAAGTCATGACAACAGAGTACACTCGGTCACTTTATAAAGTGCATAACTTTTATGTTGTGATCACCGAATTTACCACTTGGCACGCAATAGTAGTTGGTTTCCCAAAATCTTGGATTCCCAAAGTGCAATCCCTGCGCTGTTATTGCTGTAATATATATGTTTGCTAAGTAATAAATAAAAATACAAACCACAATATAGTTTCAAATACATTGAAGCTGAAAAGTTCGCGATTTAATAAATTTCGTGTGCTCGAACTTTGCCTTTTTCGTGAAAAATCTAGGAAACACGAAATTGTCCCACCTTAAAAAAAGTTTGGGATCTAAAACTTAGTGTCATCAATACAGACAAGTACATTGAAGTTATAAGAATAATATCTATTTCAATAATTAGGAACCAATTATTACTTTTTAGCTTAGGTAACCTGAATATCATGAGTTTTCTAGTTAAATTTCTGTTTTTTGTAAAACGCCTGTGTAATATTTTAAAAAAGAACGAAGAGTTACACTAATATATAAAACATATATAAAATATAATATTACTTAGTTGTTAATGGTTTTAAAAATTAAAGAGTATATTTATTGCTTATGATTTAGCAAACACCAGTAGTTGATGAATGGCTCTACATGAAGAAGGATGACCTGACCTGTCTCCGACACGATTACCTGTACAAGTGCTGGATTAGGTAATTGCATTTAGTTTTATAATGTTTGAAGTAACAATGAAATGAAAGATACTTATATTGAAAAAACTGTTATATAATTACTGCGTCAGTACAGTATTACTGTTACAGTGCACAATGTAAAACCATGGGAATTGAAAAATAAAATCCCATATTAGTATTATTTAATTAACGATGTATATTTAAATGTAATAAATATATTTGATATTATAGATTTCAAGATCCAGATCACCAGTTTGAAGACATTAATGAGGAGTATTTGCAGAATCTTAAGATGCTACTCGGCAATAATGAGGAGAAAATTGCTGAGCTACAACAGATTATAAAGAGTAAGTAAAATTTATGTTAAATTGTTTTAAATGAATGATTGGACGAATAAGATGAAAGTACCCAGAGGACCGAGCTTTGCTGTTTGTTTTTTTTTTTTTGGTAAATCGTGTATTTTGGAAATTACATTTAGATACAAATTACTGAATAATGAAATATGTATAATATTTTTCGATCTTACCGACGTAATAATAAGAAAATATGAACTGATGTTTTTCACAAAAAAAAGAACTTTAAAAAAAAAGGGAAAAAAATAACAAAATAACAAATCGACAAAAAATAAAAAATAAAGAAAGCAATGATCTGGAATCGAAAAAAAAGTAAAAAATTAATGTGTAAATGATCGTGACGCGAACCACGGCCGTCTGTTTTGAGGCCGCCCGATTACCGACCGAGCTATTATGACATTTTCTCTTGCTGCGAAATTTACCGTCATTTCGAATTATATTTTTCATTCCCTGAAAACAGGGATAAAAGGACATTTTCTAAAAATGAAACCTAGCTAGATCGATTTTTCGCCCCCGAATCTACACGCACATACTAAATTTCATGAAAATCGCTGGAGCAGTTTCCGAGATTCCGATTATATATATATATATATATATATATATATATATATATATAATGAACGTGTTAATTTCTTGTAAAATTTTGACGTTTCATAAGAACGCGCAAGCGTCTATGTGAATAAAGATATTTTATTATTATTATTATAATCGGACGAAATATATTATTGATAGACGAAAAAAACGATAACATTTTCCTAAAAAAATTAAAAGAATTGTTACTTACCAAGTCATATTATGACATAAAAGAATATTTTGGAGATACCTTGGATATTATAGATATAAATAACACATAATGATCTCACATCATAAATATATTAAACTAATTACTATAATTAATATATAAATTAAAACTAATAAATGTTACTTATAAAAATAAATAGCCACTCAAAATACCAATTACTTATACATCTTGCTCTCTCCGAATTTATGATTTGTTTTGTACTATGCCCTATAAACAGGGTCCATAAAGAACTATTTTACTAGTTACCCTAACACCTTTTGTTACTTATGGATGTGCAATAAATAAATAAATATATATACATATAAGAATTGCTCGTTTAAAGGATAAGATTAATATTGAATATGTATTTACAATCTAAATGTATATTTATGTATGCAAGAGACTTGATTAGACCAAATATAAAGGCCAAAATATTTATCCGAAATTTGGCGCAATCTAGTATAGTAAAATATGTATAGACATGGGACCTCTCTTCCTTATAAGATATATGTATAAGATATTTGTTTTAGGTGCTGTTTTTAACAAGACAAGTTTAGGGCTCCAAATAAATGGTTAAACACTCATGAGTAAATTACCTAGTGCACACCATACATTTAATTGATTGAATGGGCGATTCACTCTTAGAACTCTTGTTTACCTACTTGCTTCGCTCACAGGCTAAATGGTTAGGTCCAAGGTCATAGTTTAATTAGTTCATAGATGATTGTGGATATTCTGGTTTTCAGATCAGAAACAAATAATCACATCTTATACACAAATACACATTTAAAGGCTGTCAATGAATCTGCAGGCCATTCGGTGTTTAGAGGTCCACGGATTGTGGTAATCACTTACCATCAGGTGAACCGCCTGCTCGCTTGCCAACTGTTGACGTATTAAAAAGTTAAAGCGAGAACCTTAGTAATTAGTAAATTGATTTAAAGGCGAGCGCGCGGAAACTGAGCTATCACGGCTCTCGGATTGTTGTAGAGTATGTTGCAAAGAAAGTGAAGCAATAATCGTTGTAGAGTACGAGGCGTGCCTGGAGGACGAGGCGGAGCTGGCAGCGCGTGCCGAAGCGCAGCGGCGCGCTGAGCGGCGGGACGCGCTGGCCGCGGCGCTCAGGGCGCAGGTGGCCGAGCGGCTGGCCGACCGCTCGGCGGCCGCCGAGCAGCGGGCCGCCGCGCTCGCCCTGGCCGACGCGCTCAGGCTGCTCGACATGGAGATGGAGCGCGCCAAGTCCGTGCTCGCTTACCTATCACGTGTTATACGGTTTTATTGTGGCGAACGACTTGAACAAACAGTGTTGCTCAGTCAATGTTCCGTGCCTCCCTCTGTCGGTGCCACGAGGAGACTATTGTGCAATCGAATGAATTTTTCAAGTTTTGCCGGTCTATATACTCATCCCACCTCTTAAAATTTTCATAAGTTTGTACTACAACAGTACAACAGTTGAGGTAAATTTGTGATTGCCGTAATATTTTTTTTATTAGGCTTTTTTTATTTATTCTTAAATAATATTTAGGCCCTTAAATTTGAAAAACCTTAAGATCTATCAGCAGTTTTCATTCCATTCCATTCATCTGAAAATCTGTTTGAATTATAGAATGTTAATTTATACAATTCCCAACATAATAATTCTTATACCACTTGTGATATTAGAAAAGCTATGTGTTATATGGTCAATTGTTTGGTGCTGACCACGTAACTTCACTGCAGTGCTGAAAATCAACGTCTGCTCGAGGAAGTGGCACAGCAGCCGTTGTCAATTAGTGAGAGGACTCGTCTTCTCGATGAAGTGGACTACGCACTACGAGTGCATGACTCCAAGCGGGCGTTGGCAGAGCAGATCGCTAAGGTACCGATATCTCATGCAATAAAAATGAGCCGTCACGGGACGCCGGGCAGATGTGAAACATCGACATTATTTTGTAAAAGTAGTATGCAGAAAAGAAAAGATTGTGATAGGAAATAAATATGTCATAATGATAAAATAAAATATTACGATTTTTTTCCAGATGACGATGACTATTTATTGAATAAACATTTATTTTCATTAAATATAAAAATTTACGAATTTATTTCAAATCGTGACTACTTAATTCATTTAATCAGTGACTTCGATAATAGTACACACAATTAATTAAAGTTAATTAAATTAATTAATAAATAATTATTAACAATTAATTTAAATTTGAGTAATTAATCGTACACACTACTGCATATAGACTGTATATATATACCATCATATAGCGTCGCCACGCCATGAATTTTTACGTGCGGCTATAGATATTTCACATTAAAAATAATCAAATATAATGCCAGGGATGAATGTTAAAAAACCTTTTACAGTAGCTATGAAACTGGGTAAAATTTTTACAATTTTAAACTTTCAATCAGTCAGTAACAAAGTGGATACTATTTTAATTTTATCTTTGTGTATCTGTGTGTGAACCTTATTAAGGAATCGTCAATAACAATTTTTTTAAGATGGTGCTCAGCAAAGAAACAGAACTGGCTTTGTGGCAGAAGAAGACTCTGGACAGCTGTGTCGAATATAAGCAGGGCCTAATTCACCTGTCTGCCAAATTTCCAGAGCTATCTGCAAATGCAATAGACGAAAAGTAAGTTCAACGATGTTTAAAAAAAAAGTTAAGTAAAATAACAGCCTATACATGTCCCACTGCTGGGCAAAGGCCTCCTCCATACAGAGGGTATCAGGGCATAGTCCACCACGCGGCCCCACTGCGGTTTGGCGGACTTCACATATCTTCGAAATATATATTTTTTTTTTATTATTTTGAAACTATACAGATTTCCTCCCGATGTTTTCCTTCACCGCGGAGCACGTGATAAGTCAGCACTTAAAGTTAAAAACTTCATTGGTGCCGGCACCGGGGATCGAACTCAGCTTGCTCGAGTATATTGAAATAAAGGCGAGCGCCCGGACACTGAGCTATCACGGCTCAACGATGTTTAAACGTGAGTTTAATTGATAAATTGTTGAACAGTTTTTCGGGGTTTCGAACTTGCGTCTTGCTAACGCGCCCAGACTGCGCTAAGTCGCCGCTGTCGCACGGTGGGGTGGAAAGTCTTTCATAGTCAGAGACATTAATTCTAAATGGTTCTTTTTTGCTTCAAATGGATTCTGCTAATCCTGCGATAAAATGTCGTATTAAGCCATTGCGTGTAAAAATGAGAGTTTCGATGTTTTAGTTACAGCCAAGAAAAAAAACTTATCCAAGATGGATTCAAAGATGACCTAAATCTTTTAATCGACATCGTTAAGCAAGGACCTGCCGTCTTACTCCCCAAATTCCATTCGAATTTGTTTTTGTTTTCGATTCAAACTCACTCTTGATTTGAACTCTATTCTAAAAAGCTTACTCGTGAACTGAAACGAGAAACAAGATCGTTTGCATTATCAAATCCGTTAACTGTCACAGACAAATGTTCCATGTTTACGGTTATAACATCTTTCTCAGATAATATTTTAATAGCTTATTTGTTTTCGACAAATTATTCGATCTTAATTAGTTCTAATTAGAGTTCCACCACTCGATTGTGCGCTGGCGTCAGTTTCAGTGGTATGAACTGCTATAAATTGGAGTCAAATTCGACTGTCAAATTCAGAACTCGAATCTGTCGGGAGTAGGCCTGCTTATCCTTGCTCAATGATGTATAGACAATAACATATATACGCAACTGATGATGGCATAGTCACAAAAAATATATATAAAGAAAGCGTATGCTTACGCGTCTTGCCTCTACATACATTTATTGATTGCATATACTGATACTGGAAACACTGCGAAGGGTGGTCAAGCCAGTCCTTACATAGCTGTTACCGTTACCCAGTGAGCTGATGAGCGCTGCGTGCTCCGAGAAGGTGTGCGCCAGTATCGCCGCGCTGCGAGAGGGCGCGGCTGCCCTGGCCAGGCAGAAGGCGCTGCGCACGGCAGAGCGCGCCACCAGACGCCGCCAGAGGGCGCAGTTAATGGTGCGTATGGATAGCTTGCAATGCCCAATATTGGTATATATCTATATATATAAAAGATAATGTATGTATCTATGTTCACCTAAAACTCGAGAAGCGTTAGCCCAGTTGATATGAAATTTAGCACACATACAGGGAGGCTTTTTAAGCGTATCCTTTTTTTTTTAAAGTCTAGACATAAATAATGCTATATAATAAGTGATAAATATTTAAAATCACTCTTAATTAATTACATTCATTTTAACTTATCTCAAAAAGTGCGTGATTTATGGGCAACTCATTTTATGCGCGATCATAACTAACACGCACATAAGTTCGTTTCAAGAGTATATGACGCATTTATGAATGACTACCGCATTGTCAAAAAGTTTTGTTCTGAACCTCCTGTGTGAATTTGGGCATCTTTAGAAAAGCCACCCTGCATAAAGGGCTACATGACCACTCCGACGAACATAGATACGTCAGTGCCAGATAGGTGGTGTGATTTTTATCTTTTTGAACAAGAAACATGATATATAACCGTATATCATGTTTCTTGTTCACGTAAGATTTTTATAGGTGAAGTGAAGCGCACTGGGCACCAGCTCTCCATCACCTGTTTGATAACATACACCTTATTAGTTATTCAAAATTCATGAATAAGTTTACACTCCAAATATGAGTTTGCTTGATCTATTATTTCTCCCAATTTAAAAAGGCCACTAAACCACGGGATTATTGTCCTATAGTATAGGTAGCTAGAAGCAAATACATGTTGTGCTTTTAGTTCCGAGACACCTTATTTCAATTCACTCGAAGGAAGAAAATTTGTTTTACATCAATGTTTGTAAGCACTAGTCAAGTAATGCATTCGCCTTTGATTTTTATCTACAGGAGGAGACCCAAGCGAAGATAGCTGAACTAAAGTCCCTCGTGGAGCTAGAGCAGCAAGCGAGGGAGAGCGAGTTGAGCAAGGAGAACGCTGAGGCAGCAGCCTGGAGCGCAGAGAAGCTGGAGATCGGCAGGCAGGTGGAGGCCCTGCGCACGGCACAGGAGCATCACGCCAAGGTGGACACCGAGCTTGACTTTTGGGAGAGGCAGAACCTCGCGTGAGTATGCTCATATCAACAGATTACTTGCTGCGTGTGTGCACCTGGATAGCAAATAAACAATTAAGTTCTAGGGCTGGAAATAGGGAGGAATAACAGCCTATATAAGTCGCATTGCTGGGCAATAGCCTACTCTGTACAGAGTCATTGTATTATATTAGGTCTATGCTACAGACCGAACTTCACAAATTTTTGAAATATCTTTTTGTTATTATTTTCAAAATATGCATGTATCCTCATGATTTTTTCCCTCATCAGCACTTTAAATTGCCAGTGACAATTTTCTTGGTTATATATATATCACAGCATATTAATTGTTCATTATGAATCCTATAAAATTCTCTTAATTTGTAGTCCTAATTTGGGTCTGTTAAAGACCAACTTGTATTGTTGCAGTACTGTCATGCTATTCACGCCCAAATCACGAAATTACTGACTTTACAGTTGGCAGGAGAAGCTGTCGGCTATGAGAGAGTACATTGAGCTGCAAAGAGAAGAAGCCGTACGGGTTCTACAGGCAGCCAAAGAGAAGCGATACAAAATACTGATGGACAGCATACAGATATGGAATGAGAAACTAGCTCAATGATTGCTGCAGTGTCAATTGGTTACCGTTAAGTTGAGTCAAATTTGTATCCACTCATAAAATATTTTCAGAGGCATGAATTATTTAATTTTGATATATAAGATGTAATTTTTTATAAGTCTGAATATGATTTACAGCAACATAATGCATCTATTAAGATTGTAGTCATTTGTGGGTATTTTTAATAGAATAGTTAAAAAATAATCAACAGAAAATTATTTGGACCATTTACATCAATATAAGCCATGGGAAAAGCAAATATTGGCTTCTTAGTTTAATACAGCTTTTATGTCATGCTTATAATAATTGAATGTACAAATTAAGAATATAATGTGATATGTTACAACTTTCAATAAAATTACATAAAGAAAATTCATTTGTTTATTTACTAACTAATTATCATCTTATATTATCTTTGATAACTAATTGGATGCTGTCTTCTATCGACTGGCAATGCACTTTGAAATCACTCTGGGCCCACGCGTGGTCGTGGGACGGCCGTTTGGTGCTCCTCTGCTCGACTTTGGGCGGCGGTATGGCCGGCTTGAAGGCCATTTGTGAACCGTCATACTCCTCGTAAGTCTGTATTGGGTTCCTATACAGAAATAACACGTTATTTTAATATGAAGGTAGAGCCACGCAGTATCTGCTGCTGAAGTCGGTGGCGGTACCACGGCCTCATAGAAGACTGGTGTGAAGTACAAGTGTTAACCATTTTGCGTTTCGTCTGATGATTGAGGCAAAAAGTTGTAAAGGCTATTAGGGTTGTAGGTTTGGAGGAGGCTATCTAGCTCGAAGGGAACACAATAGATCTAGGTTGCAGTGGTAGTTGGGTATCATCACCATTATCATAGGTTGAAGGCAGCACAGCATTCGTTGTAGGGCCAAATTTTCAAAAGCTTGTCAACGTATCTGCAACCGTCGGGAGTAGCAGATGTCCATGGGGGCCGGTGTTCGCTTAACATCAGGTGTACCGCCTGCTCGTTTGCCAATTTTTCACGTAAAAAAAAAACGGCATCGAGGGTGTGCAGCGGCGACGTGGCGACCGAGCAATCGGCATCCTACCATACGTCCGATCACGATACCCTTGGAGTTTCTCAACTGTTTCTTCTCAGTTAGAAGAACCTCATTACGAAACGGTAGATTAAAAAAAACACTATGGATGAAATGAAGTAGAAGATGAGTGAATGAATCAGAATATACAATGTAGCGTTACTATCGAGGATAACTTTTTTAAATTGTATCAAACATTTACTATAATTAAACATCAATATTTACAGTTATTTAATTTTCCAATCAAATAATTTTAGAACATCTAATGTATAAAACGTGAATTGTAAAGGTATATGAAATGGTTGTATGAATTTAAAAGAGATAAAACATACTGTTAGAAGGAGAGACTTGTAATGCAAAGTTGTGTGTTGAATGAAAAAGTCTGAATGAATGAACCAGTCAGTTGTAGTTGTATAGGTGTTACAAATTTTGTAACATCCTTTTTACAAGTTTTGTTTCTTTTATTACATAATGGATTTTTTTTTAATAATTAATTGATTTATGGATTTTTTTAACGTTTACCTTTTTATATAATTATTGGCAGTTAGCGTTAGAAGTGTGTTCATTTAAGGTCGCAGTTTTAGCACCATGCTCTATATCTATTTCGATGAATAAATGATTCGCTTTGAGCATATGCTCAGAGAGGATATCGCTAAGGGCACCGACCTGGTGGGCAGCGGCCAGTCCCCTAACGTAAGCAGGGCTGCGGCAGCTCGGCGAATGGCTGGCTGGTGGTGGCGGCGCAGCGTGCACAGCTCGTGCAGCACGGCGGCCTGCGTGTAGGGATGCTCATAAAAAACATCGATATTTTCTTTTTTTTCCCTATTATGGCTCCACTGAGTGATTATCGATGTGTTCAAAAGGTGTCTTTAAAAAGATATGTTGAATATAAAAATATGTTCGACGACTCGGTGGCGCCGTTGCTAAGCGATTTGCTTCGGCGTCGAGGGTCGTGGGTTCGATTCCCACTCGGGACAAGTATTTGTGTGTCCCACAGATAATTGTCCCGGATCTAAGTGTCTGTTCCCCAAGGAGGGTTGACGTCAGGCAGGCGGTCGGTATTGAAGAACCTAGCCAAAACCTTGCATGATTCGCGTGTTGTGCCGATATTTGAATAAAATCTATGTATCGTCGGCATCCATGTAGTACCTGGGCGCGGCAGTGCTCCGGCGAAGGCAGCAGCGGGTCGTAGCGGCCGGCCCCTTCCGCGCCTTCCGCATCCACCAGCGACCGCATCGCGCCTCCCGTCTGTTGATACTCTCATTATTTTCGAACTTATACTTCCTTGGGCTTGTGGATTGTTACGATGTGTGCTTCTGTCACGTCTACCATCTGCTGGAGCACGTGAATATCGATACTTTGTCGATGTATTAAGGTGAGAACATCACAATTGATCAATTTTTTTAGGTTATACAGGTCAATTGGGGTAAAAAAAAATTTTTTAAACGATTATAGACAGCATAATATACTATGATTCGTTTGTTTGCACTCAAGGGAAAACACTGTTTCTTCAAACAATCAGTTCTATATTTCTGCATACACTTTGATAAATGATAATACTTTATTAAAGATAATGTAATACCTACTCAACATTTTGAACCACCATCTCACAGTTATGTACAAAAATCTTAGATCTTGTTGTAAGGCAACAGACTTACTTACAAACTGTTCCAGTCAGACTACTTATTGGAACTAGATATTTCTGTGTAAGGTTAAGTATTTAAGAACTTTTTTATAGCAGGAATAGAATTTCAATTTAATTAATAAATTTAACGGTATTGGCTCGTTTGCCGAGGTTATATTTAGACGCAGTCCGTGGAAGAACTTCCTGACCTGCATCAGGTCGTGGACGAGGCGCATGGCGGCCAGCGACTGGTGCGGCAAGAGCTGCGTTGCCAGAGTTGCCAGGCGCTTTGCCAGTGCGCGGACCACGACCGGCGAAACGCGCCGCGCCCTCGCCCCCACCTGCATCACGGCCTCCACCACCACGCGGGCCTGGTCCGAAGTCCCCCCTGAAACGAAAATCGTTATTAAGTTTATCGTGGTTATCGTTGCCATCGTGGGCCCTCCCAGTTCCCGACTTCTAATACTGTCCAGGGCATCACATTCACAAACTAAGTACTGTCTCCTCATCACCATTGCAGAATCAATATATTGGGCTGTCCGACAGTCTCATTCTGTTCAAATACTTGTTTAATCTACAGTGCTGTCTCACAGCAGTTGCTACAGTAGGTTAGGGTCCTGAGGGTCCTAACGAGTATACTTACACTCGACTTTGAGGTAGGGCTCTCTTCTTAACATAAAGTGAACCGCGTCTCGTCTCGGAGGGACTAGTGGGGGAGTCAGGAGTGTTTGGTGTGTTAGGAATTAACTGGTGTGACCGGTGAGCGCGTAACCTGTTGGCGTAGAACTAGGAGGGGTACAAGCGGAGCCTTCGAGGTAGAGCTTTCTTTTTAACACTCAACGTCAGGTGAACCGCGTGGCGTCTAAAGTGGGACTTGGGGGGGTTAATAACTCGCCTTGCTTAGAGAAAGCGTAGACATACGCGTGGAAGTAGTGGGGGGGGGGGGGATTAGAGCGCGTCGCCCGCGTCACTTTTATTGGGAGGGGCTAGTGGGGTTAGCAAGGGGGAGTGGGATTGTGAGGGAAGGAGGGTTTCAACAACTCCAAAGAGGGGCTAGTGGGGGGTGGGGTGGAGTTGTGGGGTTGTGGGGTTAACAACTCACCGGCGTGCACGGAGAGCGCGTTGGCGTAGACGTAGGCGTGGAAGTAGGCGGGGTCCAAGTTGAGCGCGTCGCCCGCGCTGGCCAGCACGGCCAGGGCGGTGCGCGCGCACTGCAGCCTCGCGCGGCCCCCCACGCCCTCCTCGCGCGTCAGCCGGGACAGCAGCGCCACCAGCTCCGAGTAGAACTCCACGTTGATCACGTGCGTGAACCTGGAGTGTGTATCGTCCAATGCTGGACATAGGCCCCAATCGCCACAGACTGCCCCGAAGGGCGATCCCGACTTCCCGCACATTTGCCCAAGTCAATCCGTTTTTCTTCCCCAGCAGTTAGCTGGAGTGTAAGATGCCGACTAAGGTTATCACACGCTCCGGTACACGATACACTATTAAATTACACGATATGATGATACGATACGATAATACGGAGTCTCTTCTTTTAATACTAGTACTATCTTTCACCGTTAGCGACGGGAATAGATGTGTTGTAAAAACTGAAGATACTTCAGGTGTACTGCGGCTTTATCTTACTGTCTAACTTTGGGAAGTGAACGGGTGGGTTGAAGTGGTCCTGGCTAAACAGTATCACTATACTAGTCTGGAGGTTCATAGACGATTTTCCAATCACGAAAATAAAGAGAACTATCAAAAAATTTTTGTGCAAAGCGAGAAGAGAAGGGGCGAAATACGAAGCCCTTGAGGAACGCCGACCCTTTCTAGTCGATAGCGTAAGATGTAAGGCACTCATCTTCATCTGCAATCAAACCTATATTACCGCAAGGGATCACATACTATAATGATGACAAAACCAGTTTGCAAACACTCACTTGGCCAATCCGTTCAAAACAGCCTCCAACAGTTGAGATTTGGGTGAATTCTTCAATATCCTGAAGTAGATGTGGAATACCGTCTTGGTGACCTCTGTCAGCAGCTTTTTGTGGGCTTCCTCGCTCTCCCGCGCTTCTGTCTCCAGCAGCTCCCGTTCTACTTCTTTCAACTTCTTTGCCCTCTACAAAAATTTTATATAGCTTTATATAGCAAGACTAAATTAGAACCGGTGGCAGTTTTTTGAAGTTCAATAAAAGCTTACAACAAACCATACTGAATAAAGAAATTGTGGCTTTTCAAAAATTATAGCAATCGTCATAAAAAGGTGTCATTAATAAATAATTGCATGCAATGACGGGGCAACGCCCTAACAACAAACTTCTAACAAGATATGTGATTACTGATCACTATAAATGATCAGTCATTTTTTTGCTGGCCCTACTTTCTTCTCTTTCTTGGACAGGTTGACGATCCTCTTCTTGTGCCGCTCTTCTTGGCGCTTCTTGTGCTTCAAGTCCGCGTCCGCATCCAGGTCTACGTCGCGTATCTTCAGCGTGAGGAGGCAGTCCAGCGCCGAAGGGTGGATCCTCTCTCCGCGCTTCTTCACCAGCTGGTTGATCAAGCGCACGATCTGAAACGAACCAAGTGGATCATTCATTGATGAAATAATCTCTATTTATTATTTACTAAAGGATTATTCTGTCCTCATAATTCTTGATCAAATTTTGTAATGATTGAACCATGCCACTTTAAAGCATATAGTTTGCCGCTGTAGACAAGTAAAATAAAGTTAAGGTTTCTATGAATCCTTTCCATTAAAAATGTATTTCATGATAATACCATATATTGAAAATTTTAGAAAGAAAACGAAGTAGACCCACAACTGTTATTCTTCAAAATAAGATACCTTATAGGTCTAAATAGTTTTTACCACAAAATTATATAACCATTTGGTGCTTGATAACTGTTATTTACCAAAATTTTACACAGGTCAACTAATATTATTTATTGATGTAATTCACATTTTTGTTGTGTTATTGTTTACATTGCACTTTTACTTTGTCCACTCCTTGGAGTACAAATTACGTAGTAGCAAATCTGGTGCATTTGGACGTACCCGATAAACATATTTGTATTTATTTTCATATGCAAGGGGTTTGGTAGTCCCAACGACCTTTGCGATCTAGAAGATCTATTGTAGTCTTCCCCTCGAAAACATTGTCTGTAGAATAAAATTATTCTGTGGTGTAAGGAAGTTTTACATACATAAATTTCACATTCGAACCGCCGCATAGCACCTGCGCCATAGCATCACATGCGATCCATAATAAAGATACGAAAGAAGTAAAAGACCTTGAGCGTGATGTCTCCCCTGGCGTCTTCGGCGAACACCTGGCTGCAGCATTCTGCCGCTGCGGCCCGCGCCTCCTGCTGGCGGCAGTCCAGATACGGCACGACGCTCTGGGCGATGTTCGGCGCGAAGTTGAAGTGGGGCCGCGCGGCGAGCAGCGAGCACATGCAGCGGAGCGCCACCAGAGCCAGACTCTTGGCCGACTGCTCTACCGATCTAATGGAGAGACGGATTTTTTGATGTAGCCCCGGGTATACTAGTATATGTCCTCAATGTGAAAATAAACTAATATTTCTGGACATATTTTTTATAATATACTTACACACTAGGCTATTCTTGAACTATGGGTACTAGTACTACATATTATAGATATATAAATATTATGATTTGATGTCTTGATGTATATTTTTATAATCATGTTTCCAACAACATTTAGAGAGCCGAGTTACCTCCTGTCCCCTTTCTTTTGTCTTAAAATGGAGGCGGCTTTTTCTAGCCGCTGCAGGTATCGCTTGTAGAACTCCACAAGTTCCTTCTCGTGTTTGTAGAGCGCCAAAGTGTCCTTTTTCACTGTGGGAACCACATAAATATAAGAAATTATTGTTATTAACTACTGGTTTTTCTATTAATATACTGTATTTCTGAATAAGTAAGATAACTGACAACCTTTAGCTTCAACAGACTGTAAAAACTTCCGCGCGTTTAGTAGGTAGCGTCTACCAACGCGAGTTTCTTTTTTTTTTTTTTTTTCATTTTATTGACAAATATTTACAATTTAAAGTCTTAACTTGAGTGCAAAGACTAGCAATAAAAATAAATAAATAATCTTAAAAAATTTTAAGAGAAATAGCGACATTTCTCGAATGTAAAAAAAACTTACGCTTTACGTCAGAGTAGTCCTGGTGGCGTATCGCATAATCGGGCAAGATGTCCCTGAACACCTCGGCGGCAGATATCATGGCCAGTTTTCTCACTGACACCAAGTTGGGTGTGCCGTCTTTTAAGTGCTCCTCCATCAGGTACAGAATTGGGAACAGGTTCTTCAGCTACGCAATAATTCTTGATTTTTTATTCAATTACAATCCAGTTATCGAATGTTGTAATCATAAAGAAGATGCCAAAGGAGCAGGTGTTTCATCTAATGGGTAAAAGATCCCTGCTACACATCCTATTAAATGCTTTGTCAACCTTAAAATAAGTAGCTTTGTCAACCTTTGTAATTTTGAATATCCTGTTACCTTACTAAGGCAAAATGCAAAAATCCCTTTAATGACTAACTGTGTATACCTCTACTACTCATTAACATTGCTGTTGAAGTTGTTCCAATTAAAAAATACCCTATTATTTAAAAACAAGGTCCACACAGCATTTTTGTTGTTGTTTGTACAAATGGGCACTACAGTCGCAGAGCAGTCTTCTCTTCAATCAGTCTTCCACTTCCAGTCAGAATGTGAATTTTTATTCTTTTTATATATTTATTATAACACAAAATAGAAAAAATAATGAAAAATGAAAATAATGTACAAAAGGTAAGCTTAACTCAATGCACTCAGTTCTCTGCCAGCTAACCTGGTATTATTCTTCCACTTTATGAAAGTCATTGTTCCTTATTAAAATGAGACAACACATCTGCTACCCCCTATGTGTGTTCTAGATGCCCATGGACGGTGGTTATCATTTAAAATCTGGTGAATTACAAGTTTCCCTGCCACCTTCTAATATAAAAAAAAATATTATAAGCAATAGGACTAAATAACACGCAACAATATACAATCAAACATACTTTTCTCTCCGGGTTCTCCAGCAACGAAGAACAGAGTGCCCCAATCCTTAATTTTTCATGATTCAGTTTATCTCTCCTGGCAGCTAACAGTTGCACAGTGGTCACCACTTCATCTGTTTTATCACCCTCTTCCACAGTACCCTCCATCCCAGAATCGGAGTCACCATCTTTTGTGTCTTCCTCATCTTTGCTTTCAGGAATTGTAGACTCAGTAGTTTCATCAGCCTGATCTTGATCAGAATCTGTGTCTAATGCAAATCTTTATATATAAATCTGAATGTCCATTTGATGTAAATATTTTTTATGACATTATTGTTGGGATAGGGTTTACGATAATTCGATACTCGCACACATTATTTATTTTCAAATGACAGCCCAAAATAAAACCTATAAGTAACAGTAGATTTCTATTATAATCAGATATAATTAAAAAACAGACATACAAAACAAAAGTAGACATTTTGTTTATATAAACATTTTTTTTTACTAGTTTCAATGATAACCTTAGGATACCAAGTCCTTCAGAATGATATTTACGAATAAGTGTGACATTTTCTTTAGAAATAAAATATCACACCAAACTACTACCAGGTGCTAATTATGCATATAAAACTATGTGAATGCTATATCCTTAACACAATGCTGTGGCTACTATCTAAAAAATAATACCAATATTTTAGCAACTATACATATTATATGCCAGCTAATTCATCATAATTTTATAACATGAACAATCAAACTTCCCTTCATGCTTACCTTCACACTCTTCAGCTCTTTCCATAATGCCATGTTTGGTTTTGATTGGCAGTAATGGACGGAGCCGTTTTACAGGTCTCTCCGCCATCTCCTTTTCATATTTATCCTCCATGTCACTATTGTCTGTTTCACTGTCCGCACCGCTATCACTACTGAGACTCATGTCTTTGGGAACTTGGTCTAGATTACTTTGTTTACGCTTTTTAGGTTTCCTAAAAATTTTTAAATAACTAAATAATATGCAAGTGATTTATTAGTAGAAACATTGAAATAATAAATATCTGTATATGTTAAAATATCAGAGAGCAACAAGTAAGTACTACACCAAAATAGTTTGTAGCGTAAGTTACTTGTAGTATATATTCTTACTTATCTCCTTTCTTATCTTCTTCTGGCACATTAGAGAGGAGATGGGGTTCCTTGGCCAGCCTTCCCATTATGTACTTTTGTTCCTCTTCGTCTAGCATGTCTGCCCATTCGTCCCCAGAGGCAGATTCGCTTTCGCTGCTGTATACCGGTTGCTGAGTTTGCGCCGGCTGTTTTTGCTTCTGAACTTTGTTTCTATGCCTCTGAAGACGTAGTTTGCCCTGTTTTCTCATTTTGTTCGTGGTCTGATTGTTCCTTTTCACCTTACTAATTTTTGCTTTTCCCTTTTTCTGTAACAAAAGTAATTTAGAGTATGAAAATATTACAGGCTGAAATAAAGTCATCTAATTTATGATAACAATGTACTCACAGCCATGTTTAAATAGTTTATTTTAATACAATGCAAAATGCCTTAATATCCCTCACAAGTATCATAAGCACCTTATATTAATTACAATATTTTTTTTGTATAAAAACAACGTGGATTTGAAAAGACTGATATTAAATGACATTAATGTATTTTTAGGTTGCCACTTGTCATCTGACGTTTGACGTTTTGTCGTAAAGTGCCGTTCACAGAGAATATTAATATTAACTGCTAAGCTATGCTATTTTTTGTAACTAGTAAGTGTGGTTCCTTGTTAGCGCGACAGTTTCGATAATCGACAGTTTCCTTGGAAGAGGCCAGCGGGTAAATGACCTAAGGACTCAGGAGAAACATATTATTTGGTGCACGATGACCACGTTTGGTCTGCTAAATCTCCATTGTGATGAAAGATGGATAATTGGACTAACAGATAGAGGTTTGAAAGAGTGAAATTGCGACTTTATCACGAGAATATACGAATCAATCGCTCACAAAAATTGAATTACTAAAAAATAAATTTTCAAGAATTAAACCATTAAATCAAAATAATCAATTCACTGTAAAAAAAAGTTTACAATAGTAAAAAAAATCGTGATTATAATTAGCGCAAGCACCGAGCAATCATATGTAGATTCACTATTAAAGTAACAACGACGGTTCTAAGATGAACTAGCACATGAAGGTATCGGGTGTACGTTGCGTGGAGCTCGGGGATCTCGAATTCGCTGGGACATGAGCTGAACCCTAAATGAGTTTGATAACGCACGTGTTGAGAGTGCTGTGTCGCCCCGTCGTTGAGGCGATGCGTTTTAAATATTATTCGCGCGCGTTAAGGAATAGTCCGAATCATCAAAAGCTTAAAAGAGTTGTTATGGAGCGGACAGCGTCATCATGTTATCTTCGTGCATCAGCTTCATTGTCCTCTCACGTCTCTTGGGTCATGACCCCGCGAACCTCTTCCAAACAAGATAACCAGCGCGCTATCAGCGTACTACTCCTTACAAAAAACTTTCACTATTTTGGAATAACTTCATATTTATATAACTTTAAGATATAGAACGATTAAAATCATATTATCATGGACATGAATCTGAAAATTTTAATTTTTATGTCTATGATAATTTAAATTTTAATTAAAATTACCACCTATAACGCACAAGTCCTTTAAATATAATCTTATTAAAATAATTATTTATTAAGCTTTAAACTTTATACGTAAATCTGTGGCATTACATATAACTATTTAATCATTAAAAATAAAAAAAGATACTTATTCGTAAAACCTGAATTTACCGAACGCAGAATGCAACTTTCTAAACGTCAGTTACAAAGACCTCGAAACTTTCTTGTGTACTCTAAATTCTAGTTTTTCTAGTTTCTTTTGTATCGAAACTCTACTTGGGTGACTATAATATTGATTAGGTCAGCTTATTCTATAATGTCTAATATATTTGTGTAGCAGTTTTATTGTGGAAACTTGATTATTTGAGATGGTACCTCAGCAACAGCGTAGGAGACGACGTCGGGCAGCTTTAGTGCGTACTGCTGAGCGTCGTGTTGTTGTTGCTCGCGGCTCCGGGGGTTTTGGGTTTACTATAGCCGGGCAAAGGCCGTGTATAGTGTCCGCTGTTGCTGCTGGGGGTCCTGCTGAAAGAGCAGGTCTTAGGGCGGGTGATGCGCTCCTTGCAGTAGACGGGACCAGTGTGGCTAGAGCTCCCCACGCCTCAGTTGCTAGAATGGTTGCGGCTGCGCCCGGTGCTATATCCTTAAGCGTGGCGTTAAGGGAGTCGCCACCGACCGATACGGAAGACACTGAACCTGAAGAACGAGCTAGAACCCGCCGGAGGTATCCTCCGCCGCGAAGAAGGCCCCAGCATGCGATGATGCATCATCCAGGCAAGTTGATTTTTATAAAACTTTGATAATCAAATGGTGAAAAGAATAAAAGAATATGGTGAATTTAATTGCTTTTGTGAGAGCCTTAAACCTGAATACATATATTAAGTAGTTATGGTGAAGGGTAGTAAAATGATTTGTCATTTCGATACACTATATTATTATAATTTTTATTGAAATTTAATCTGTTATGGTATTCATACTTAATCAAAATTTATATTATTCATAGATTGGGGAATTTTTTGCAGATTCATATGCTTACGGATGAACATAATGAGGTATGTGCAAAACTTAACACATTCACACCATGTGTTCTCAGCTTTGCACTTTCACTTCATTGTTTATGTCTCAGTGGGCCACTTTATTATAAAAATCTCATTTTATTATTGAGAATGAAACAAAAGCACAATACCGCACTTTAAAATGAGGTCTAAAGTTATATCTTAGTAGAAAGGTTTTATGCTATATCAGTATTATATTTGTGTCCTAAAATATTTATATTTATTATCATCTATCCTTCCATACTTTATGATATGGCCCTGCATGTGTTGAGTTTATTGTTATATGATAAGCTGCATGTATAGTTTACCTTATTTATTTCACAATTGTTAACACGATCATGTTCTGATTAGAGCTGATGAGACACTCCCATGTTACACCCAGATTTTTAGCAATATTGCCCTTCAACAGGGTTGCTCTATGGGTCATTTGTTGTATAGCATTTTGTAGATTAGGCATACACTATAGTTATGGACAGATATTATTTATTTAGATTTTCAAACATGTATTGTTAGATTTGTATAATATAATTATTGATTGTGATATTGTGTTGCATGTCTATTAAATAATTTAAATACTCTATCAAAATATATAAAGGATCAGTTTCAAAAAAGTAAAAGTCAGAAATTATTTTTGTACCAGTGAACTGCATCTACAAAATCTGTAAGAATTTTAGTGTTTTATTTAAACTTAGAATTGTTATGTAAATTATTTTTTACTGAAAATTTGTAGGTATTACATTTTATTATACACTTAATGACCTTGATTTTTCTAGTACTCTATAGTACCACAAACATATTATAATAGAAGAACCAAAATTTATATACTAGCTGCTGCGACTACATCTGCATAGAGTAGGCTGAAGGCGTAACATTCAGACCGAAAGACAGACATATATATATATATATATATATATATATATATATATATATATATATATATATATATATATATATATATATATATATATATAATATATATAAAAATTCATTAAAATCCATTCTACTTATTTGCGTGAAAGAGTAACTAACATCCATTTATACATACAAAGTTATGCATTTATAAAATTGTGTAGAAATTTATAATAGACTATATTTAGAAGTTTTGTTGTTTGTTTTCAATAATGATCCAGATGTTCAAAAGCTGATGGAAATACACTTATAATGCTTTATCTTCACATAAACCATGTTTGGAGTTATGCAACTGAACTGCTTAACATTGTTAAACAATGTTTATACATCATAGGCACATTTCACTTGTGTTTATTTACACATGTTGTATGCCTAATTTCAGTCAGTACATACTTTGCCTCCATTAAATCAATACCAAATCAAATATTAATATTGCTTATTCAATAAATATTATAACCAGTAATTAGTTATTAGTGCATGTTACAAGGGTCTATACCATTTGAATAGACAATTTGTTCAGACTTTAATAAACCATTTTGATCTAGTCTATCTCTTGGCGATACTATAGAGTCTCTATAGTATCGCCAAGAGACAAACTTCTTCACATCAATTGCATGCGCCATCTAATATTTCGCCAATAATTGAATGTTTCGATCGATAATTGAAGACCATCGTCGCTAATGACTGTCGAAACAAAAATCTCAGGCTGCAACGCGGCGCCGACCACGTCGGCCGTGAACGAGATCCTGCAGAGCCTGAGAGGCGCGCAGCTGGCGCCGATGCAGGCGGCGCGGCTGGAGTGCCGCGCCGTGGTGGGCTACCTGGGCACCATCGAGACGCCGCAGGCCTCCGCCGCCGCGGCGCCCGGCAACGTGCGCAGCGCCGTTAAGAAGCTGAGGCAGGAGCGGCGCCCCGCCGCGCCCGTGCTGCTCAGCGTGCTGCCGGCCGCGCTGCTGCTGCGCCGGCCCGCCGGCCAGCTGCTGGCGCAGTACCCGCGCGAGCGCATCGTGCACGCGGGCTGCGGCGCCGAGGCCGACCGCCGCTACTTCGGCCTCGTGACGGCGGCCGAGCCCGCCGGCGACGCGGCGCCCTCGCACAGCTGCCACGTGTTCGCCGTCGACCCGCGCCTGGCCGCCCACGAGGCGCACGCTGCCCGCGCCCGCGACTTCCACATCGCATGCACCAGGGACCCCGTGACCGAGCGGTGCCTCGAGTTCCCGCCCTCCTCGGAGTACGTGGTCGGCGTCGTGAGGGGCATGTACTCGCTGCCGTCGGACGAGCGCCCCGGCCCCGCCCTGCAGCAGATATCGAAGCTGGCCGCGAAGGGCGACAGCCCGGCGCCCGGCGAGTTCGCGCGCGGCGGCCGGCCCGCCTTCAGGGCGCAGCGCGAGCGGAGGCCGGGTCGGCGCGAGGATGCAGCCGAGTTCGTCGCCAACTCGCCGCAGCCGAGCAACCACAGTGAGGTGACGACCACGTCGAGCAACAGCGACTCGGGCATCGGCTTCCACAACGACTGCCGCAACATCGCCGACCGCATCCTGGTGGTGGAGTTCGGCGAGCGGCGGCCGGCGCCCGGCGCGTTCCGGCCCGAGGCGCCGCGGCGGCCGCCCGGCCTCGCCTTCGACGCGGACGGCTGCTTCCTGTCGAACACGACGCCCGTGGTGGACGGCTTCGGCGGCCAGGGCCGCCCGCTCGACGTGGACGACGTGGCGCCCGCCGCCTACGGCCACCGCAGCCTCTACGGCGAGCTGGCGTCGGCGGCGCGCCGCCCCGAGCGCCTCTACGGGCCGCCGCCACGGCTGGGGCGTGACATGGAGCGCGAAGTGGAGCGCGAAGTGGAGCGCGAAGTGGAGCGCGAAGTGGAGCGCGAAGTGGAGCGCGCCGCCGACGCGTTCCGCTCGGTGGAGCTGTACGAGGGGCGGGCGGCGGACGCGGCGTCGGTGCGCTCGAGCCGCAGCCACGAGGAGCCGCGCGAGGCGCGCCGCCGCCACCTGCAGGCCTCGCTCGACGACATGCTGGTGCTGCGCCTCCACGAGCCCGCGCCGCCCAACAGAGACGACGCTAATTTCCTCCACCCGGCCAACGTTAAATGCAAGGTAGTTTTTGTTCCTCATAAAGTTAAGTAAAAAGCAAAGTATCAGCCTATACATGTCTGGGCAAAAGCCTTTTTTTATGTATATAAAACATTTGTTTTAATGTGATTAGGTGGCAATCAAGCTGGCAGTTCATCTAATATAAAATGGTGACCGCCGCCCATTGACATTTGAAACACCTGTAGGGTTGCGGAGATGTTGCCACCTTATAATAAAGTGAGCCCTTGCTAGCTCACTCACCAGATGAAACGCATAAGTGTAACACTTCACGCCGGTCTTCTGTGAAGTCTGGGTACTTTCTGGGACGGATCTGCCCATTCTTGCAACAGCGAACACTGTTGCGTGACCCTGCTACAGTAAAATACACATTCTCACAACACAAATAATGTCCTACAGTGGGGGTATTGTTTTCGAAGGGAAGGCTAAAATAGATCTCCTAGGCAGCCGTGGTCGTTGGGGCTCACTAGCTTACCACCCCGCCCCTTTCTCATCAAAATACAAAAATGACCTTTTTCCAGCGTATACGTAAAAGCGAGTTACATATCGCAATCATTTTCGTTTTAATGAAACACTTGCACTGAACGCGTCGCACGTGTTACCAGTTCCGCAAGCCGAAGCCGCCTAGCCTGCTGTCCAAGACGCGCAGCCTGCTGGGCGTCGGCGGGGCGAGGGCCGGCGCGGAGGGGCCGGAGGGGGCGCGGGGGGCGGAGGGGGCGCAGGGGGCGCAGGGGGCGGGCGGCGAGGGGCGCAGGCGGTCGCTGAGCGCCAGCGCGGGCGACGTGTCCTCCGCGGCGCCCGCGGAGCACCCCGGAGCCCTGGCCGCCGCCGCCAGCGAGCCGGACCTGCGCGACCAGGTGGGTGCTCGCCTCTGATAGACCGTACACCGTTGATCGTCCGTAGACCATAGACCATAAGCCATACCGGAGGTGATGCGTCGGAGAGTGAAGTGGAAGTGCAAGACTAGGAAGGCAGATGTCACCATCAGATGAGAATAATCATTGTTCAGGCGAGAGAGAGAAATCATAGACCATGAGCTTTCACTACATCCTGGCTTGGCTGGTAGCAAATGCCTTCGGGCATTAAGTCCGCCCTTTGTTACCATTTTCGTTCTTATTATTAGCAATAAATAAATTAATTAATTAAAAAAAAATACACCGAAGTCTAATATCGATATGGCCCGCAGCTGTTCCATAAAGTACCACAATCTCTGAGAAGACAGATGTGAAGGAATATACTGAGACATTTGGATCAGCATCATTATGAACATCTCCGTCAATAAGTAAACAACGGACGCAGAAGATTATTTTAATCTTCCACAATAATTGAAAGTCATAATTAATAAAAGTAATGTTATTGAGGTAATTTCATTTACCTAAGTATATAAAACAGTTCAGTCACACAATTATAAGCATAAGCTTACTATGGTATACATGCATATAGCAGATAACATGCATATATAAAATTAAAGTATGCATATAACAGATAACAACACACCCATTGTTATTATTTAACCGCACCTAAGAATATTCTTTTTCACAATATTATGATTACTTCATGTAGTGTAATAAAGTCAAGAATGAACCAATAACTAGCATATTGACACTTTGAAGTGTATACTAATTCTGGAAAGAGATTATCAGCTCATTTCAGTTTCGTAGAACGCTTTCGAAAACGTATTCTTCACTAATCTATGCACTCCGTTACGAAGTTACTTTAGTTATGTACGCATGGTTGTATTACTTTATATTTATTCCCTTTAATTCTGACGACGACCAACCAACTTCCAGTATACGAAGCGATCGCCGAAGTCACATTGGTGATTTTTCCTTAGAAAAAAATCGTTAATAGATTCGCCTTTTCAATGCAGTGTATTAACTTTACGTCTGTGTGCTGCCTGTGTCTGATTTGTGTTCGTGTGTGTTGGTTACTCTATGACGCGTCTAGTGACGCGAGATGCGATTTTAAAACGGCAGTAAAGTTCGATGTCGACGTAATTGTAACTGTAATTGTTTTATAGTAATGTTACACAATTGATTAACTTGTATTTAGTTCCATAGAACTTGAAACGAATCGAAAGGTAGATTGTTGTCAAATTTTATTATGTCCATATATTATTTACCTAGTGTGTTTTAGTCGGCGCCATAACTTTCATAATTCTTTATAAAATTAAATGATTCAAATACCATTTCAAAGTTTATGTTTGTGGCTATTGAGGATTTTATTAAAATGTTGATTAAAATTAGACAAATGGAATAAAGTATACGTTTTTATAAAATAAAAAAACTCCTTTAAAAGTTGTTATAAAAACTATGATAGTGCAATCTAACTAAAGAAATAGATTGAAATTAACCATTATCCTTCAAAATTCTTATCATTGTATTACAATTTGATGAATTAAATGTTTGAAATGCGCACGGTACCGTGCGAAAATTTCGCACTGTGTCAACTAGATTTTGTTTTCATTCACCATGTATATCGATAACACCGATATTAACCATGTATATCCATTTAGCTGTGTTTCAAAATTAAATAAATGGCCAATAGATGGCATTATCGTACATTACATTCCTTAAAGGAAGTTTTATTTAGAACCATTTTTACAGTATTTGTCTATTATCCGTTAATAGGGAAACCTGCGTTAACATGGTGTTTGAATCATTAAATAAGAAGAATAAGATATTTAATTTTTATAGTGCTAATCTCTGCACTTATGATGAAACCTTAAAATTTGTAGAAAATCTATTCAAACATTTTTTCTACAAATTTTAAGAAGATCAAGGGATGGCAAGTTATGGGGTTCTGACAAAAACCGCCTTTGATAAATCTATGTATATATATATATATATATTATATATATATATATATATATATATAATTCTCGTGCCACAATGTTAGTTGCCATACTCCTCCGAAACGGCTTGATCGATTATTATGAATTTTTTATGTATATTTGGTAGGTCTGAGAATCGACTGTAATCTGTTTTTATATCCCTAAGTAATAAGGGTGGTCCACCCCAAAATTTTTTTTGTACCCTACAAATTCCCTATAAATAATTTGTATGGCAAAACAACGTTTGGGTCAGCTAGTAGTATAGAGATGATTTTGAAGATTGAATTATTGGCTCCCATTGTGGCCTTGTCGTGCCGGTCCCTAATGAAATAATTGTAGATGGGCCAATTGAATGTTTTGTTCCCTTCGGCTGGGGCAGGCTCCAAGGTCCGGTGACCTTGGCCCCTCACATGCGGGTCGCCCATTAGCGCAATTGATCGTAATTAGGAAATAGATTCACCGTTTCTATATATTCACCGTGTGTTGGCTTCGGCTAAAATGCAGCGTTGTTATATATATATTTCAAACGAGCTGACGGTTCATCTGATGTTAAGTTATATCCGGCGTCCATGGATATTTGCAACTCCCGTAGGGTTGCAAACCCTTTGCCACCTTTAAATAAAGTGGGCCCCGGCTACCACACTAACCTGACGAAACGAAGAAGTTGTAACACTTGTATTTCACGCCGGTCTTCTGTGAAGTCGTGGTACTTACCCGGACGGCCCTGCCATAGTTTATCTCGTGTTTAATTCTATATACTCGAGCAACGTGTGTTGAAAACTCGGTGCCGAAAGGCACTGTTCGATGAATTTGCTTCAGACCGTGTAGTTTTTATCTTCCAGACCTTTCGAACTATTTACAATGCGAGGACATTCACGGTAAAGACCATTTTTAGCTTAACCTCTTAGTTAACCCGACCGCTAGCTATCGTTGCAAGTCGGAAATTTTAAACCGACACGCGACAGAATCGATCGAAAATCTTTATTTAGCAATGGGAAGTGTTCAGGTTAAAAATAGACGCAATTATGCTAATAAGGTAAGTTTATTTTTGACACGGCCCTCGTTCCGCCGTGCTCGGCGAGATCGATTCGCGGCAGCAGATAAGTGATAACGCGAACGGAAATACACCTTTTCCTGTGGTTAAATGGCTTGGCGTATTCCGACACGTCTATTTTTGTCTATGGTATTGTAAAAGCCCCTCCAGATGAACCGACGAAATCATAAGAGTCGCGGGCAACCGGTGGAGGCAAATGGCAAAGTGTCGTTTGTTGTGGCGTTCTAAGGGACAGGCCTATGTTCAAAAGTGGACGTTTTGCGGCTGAAAGATAGTAAAAGCCTATATGCTAATTCCTACTGCTGGGGAAAGGCCTCTGTACAGAGGGTATTAAGGCATAGTCTACCACCTGACCCCACTGCGGATTGGCGGGCACATACCTTCGAAACATTTTTTTTGTTGGTATTTCGAAGGTATGCAGATTTCCCACGATTTTTTCCTTTAACCCTGAGCACGTGATAAGCGCTTAAAATTGCCATCGGCATCGGGGATCGAACTCATGTTGCTCGAGTGTGTGCGTGTCACATAATGCACTGGAAACAAACGCGGGACGCTACGTTTTAACCTGTTTACTTCGTCCCAACCGCAGCAGACGACATACAGAGCCGCGATAGCTCAGTGTCCGGGCGCTCGCTTTCAATTCTTTACACTCGACCAACCTGAGTTCGAATCTCGCTGCCGGGAAGATTGATTGATTTTAAGTGATAATTAATTTTAATTTTACGTACTGACTGACTGCGAGGCGCAGTTGTCAAAGTATTGGTTCCGGCGCCGGGGCTCGTGGGTTCAATTCCCACACGGGACAACTATTTGTGACCATAACCCACTAAAATTAATATGGCCGGACATGTTTTAACGTTATTTAGTTAAGAAATACAACTTTTCTTCTCGTAAGTAATTAAAAACATGAAAATATTATAGTTATTTAAACAATGTTTAGAAAGTAGACATAAAGTTAACAAAGTGTATTTGTAACACAATTTTGAATTGAAAATAGATATAAGACAAACGATATAAGACCGTAATAGTCTCCAAGGGCTTTGCTATATATACCTTACGATTATTTATAACTGAGGCCGCGTGCCAGTCTGTCTGTTTGCGTGTTTGTCGTGCGATTACTGTCTGCACACACTGGCTAGTCACAGTTACTCTTGCGTTGAGAAAAACCTAAAGGTACAGAGATATTAAGACGCCAGAGAGAGAGAGGCAGGACATGCTATTCTTTGGTCCCAAATGACGCTGAAGCCATAGATTCCATCACAGTAGGGCAGTTTAGTCACTTTCCTTAAATACGAAAAGGCGAAAAAAGCAGTAGCCATTAGATTAGATTGGAAAAAAAAGCATAATTAGATTTTTTTCCATAGATGCGGAGAAAATGTCACTTATTTTCTAATTTTGAATTTGTAAAAAAAAAATGGACGTAAAGTCTCGCCGCTACGAGGTTTTGCACCCGCGCCTTCCGGGTTTAGCAACTGGGATTCAAGCCACTGAGCTAAATGACTTATCTTTACACTGACGAAAATGTCAACGTAATTTATCTACTTTCATGGATCCCACTACACGCGGTTTTCTAGTACATTTAAAAAAAAAAAGTTAATAGTATTAAACGTAATTTTCTTTTTTAAATAAATAAAATATATTACAGATATAAATATATAACCAGACACTAGAAAAACGGTACAAGATACTGGTCACAGATCCAGTACGCCAATTGGGTCGTCAAAGATTGTATCACTATAAAAGTTGATATCTATAAAAAATTTCTTAATGTTGAAAACATTGCTTTCCATTGTTGTACATCGTGACACCATAATATTCACGAGTTAAAGTGATGCCAGCGCTTATCTTCAGAGCGACTAAATCGTAAAAATCCCAAAAGCAAAACATGGTAACATTGTGTTTATATTTTGGCGGGGTGCCGTTCAAAAGAGGAAGGTTTTTTGGTCCAGGAAATGTCATAAAAAGGGTCGTAAATGGTCGGTTGT